GGGTGCGACGAGTGGGAGGGGGCTGGGTGCGACGAGTGGGAGGGGGCTGGGTGCGACGAGTGGGAGGGGGCTGGGTGCGACGAGTGGGAGGGGGCTGGGTGCGACGAGTGGGAGGGGGCTGGGTGCGACGAGTGGGAGGGGGCTGGGTGCGACGAGTGGGAGGGGGCTGGGTGCGACGAGTGGGAGGGGGCTGGGTGCGACGAGTGGGAGGGGGCTGGGTGCGACGAGTGGGAGGGGGCTGGGTGCGACGAGTGGGAGGGGGCTGGGTGCGACGAGTGGGAGGGGGCTGGGTGCGACGAGTGGGAGGGGGCTGGGTGCGACGAGTGGGAGGGGGCTGGGTGCGACGAGTGGGAGGGGGCTGGGTGCGACGAGTGGGAGGGGGCTGGGTGCGACGAGTGGGAGGGGGCTGGGTGCGACGAGTGGGAGGGGGCTGGGTGCGACGAGTGGGAGGGGGCTGGGTGCGACGAGTGGGAGGGGGCTGGGTGCGACGAGTGGGAGGGGGCTGGGTGCGACGAGTGGGAGGGGGCTGGGTGCGACGAGTGGGAGGGGGCTGGGTGCGACGAGTGGGAGGGGGCTGGGTGCGACGAGTGGGAGGGGGCTGGGTGCGACGAGTGGGAGGGGGCTGGGTGCGACGAGTGGGAGGGGGCTGGGTGCGACGAGTGGGAGGGGGCTGGGTGCGACGAGTGGGAGGGGGCTGGGTGCGACGAGTGGGAGGGGGCTGGGTGCGACGAGTGGGAGGGGGCTGGGTGCGACGAGTGGGAGGGGGCTGGGTGCGACGAGTGGGAGGGGGCTGGGTGCGACGAGTGGGAGGGGGCTGGGTGCGACGAGTGGGAGGGGGCTGGGTGCGACGAGTGGGAGGGGGCTGGGTGCGACGAGTGGGAGGGGGCTGGGTGCGACGAGTGGGAGGGGGCTGGGTGCGACGAGTGGGAGGGGGCTGGGTGCGACGAGTGGGAGGGGGCTGGGTGCGACGAGTGGGAGGGGGCTGGGTGCGACGAGTGGGAGGGGGCTGGGTGCGACGAGTGGGAGGGGGCTGGGTGCGACGAGTGGGAGGGGGCTGGGTGCGACGAGTGGGAGGGGGCTGGGTGCGACGAGTGGGAGGGGGCTGGGTGCGACGAGTGGGAGGGGGCTGGGTGCGACGAGTGGGAGGGGGCTGGGTGCGACGAGTGGGAGGGGGCTGGGTGCGACGAGTGGGAGGGGGCTGGGTGCGACGAGTGGGAGGGGGCTGGGTGCGACGAGTGGGAGGGGGCTGGGTGCGACGAGTGGGAGGGGGGGCTGGGTGCGACGAGTGGGAGGGGGCTGGGTGCGACGAGTGGGAGGGGGCTGGGTGCGACGAGTGGGAGGGGGCTGGGTGCGACGAGTGGGAGGGGGCTGGGTGCGACGAGTGGGAGGGGGCTGGGTGCGACGAGTGGGAGGGGGCTGGGTGCGACGAGTGGGAGGGGGCTGGGTGCGACGAGTGGGAGGGGGCTGGGTGCGACGAGTGGGAGGGGGCTGGGTGCGACGAGTGGGAGGGGGCTGGGTGCGACGAGTGGGAGGGGGCTGGGTGCGACGAGTGGGAGGGGGCTGGGTGCGACGAGTGGGAGGGGGCTGGGTGCGACGAGTGGGAGGGGGCTGGGTGCGACGAGTGGGAGGGGGCTGGGTGCGACGAGTGGGAGGGGGCTGGGTGCGACGAGTGGGAGGGGCTGGGTGCGACGAGTGGGAGGGGGCTGGGTGCGACGAGTGGGAGGGGGCTGGGTGCGACGAGTGGGAGGGGGCTGGGTGCGACGAGTGGGAGGGGGCTGGGTGCGACGAGTGGGAGGGGGCTGGGTGCGACGAGTGGGAGGGGGCTGGGTGCGACGAGTGGGAGGGGGCTGGGTGCGACGAGTGGGAGGGGGCTGGGTGCGACGAGTGGGAGGGGGCTGGGTGCGACGAGTGGGAGGGGGCTGGGTGCGACGAGTGGGAGGGGGCTGGGTGCGACGAGTGGGAGGGGGCTGGGTGCGACGAGTGGGAGGGGGCTGGGTGCGACGAGTGGGAGGGGGCTGGGTGCGACGAGTGGGAGGGGGCTGGGTGCGACGAGTGGGAGGGGGCTGGGTGCGACGAGTGGGAGGGGGCTGGGTGCGACGAGTGGGAGGGGGCTGGGTGCGACGAGTGGGAGGGGGCTGGGTGCGACGAGTGGGAGGGGGCTGGGTGCGACGAGTGGGAGGGGGCTGGGTGCGACGAGTGGGAGGGGGCTGGGTGCGACGAGTGGGAGGGGGCTGGGTGCGACGAGTGGGAGGGGGCTGGGTGCGACGAGTGGGAGGGGGCTGGGTGCGACGAGTGGGAGGGGGCTGGGTGCGACGAGTGGGAGGGGGCTGGGTGCGACGAGTGGGAGGGGGCTGGGTGCGACGAGTGGGAGGGGGCTGGGTGCGACGAGTGGGAGGGGGCTGGGTGCGACGAGTGGGAGGGGGCTGGGTGCGACGAGTGGGAGGGGGCTGGGTGCGACGAGTGGGAGGGGGCTGGGTGCGACGAGTGGGAGGGGGCTGGGTGCGACGAGTGGGAGGGGGCTGGGTGCGACGAGTGGGAGGGGGCTGGGTGCGACGAGTGGGAGGGGGCTGGGTGCGACGAGTGGGAGGGGGCTGGGTGCGACGAGTGGGAGGGGGCTGGGTGCGACGAGTGGGAGGGGGCTGGGTGCGACGAGTGGGAGGGGGCTGGGTGCGACGAGTGGGAGGGGGCTGGGTGCGACGAGTGGGAGGGGGCTGGGTGCGACGAGTGGGAGGGGGCTGGGTGCGACGAGTGGGAGGGGGCTGGGTGCGACGAGTGGGAGGGGGCTGGGTGCGACGAGTGGGAGGGGGCTGGGTGCGACGAGTGGGAGGGGGCTGGGTGCGACGAGTGGGAGGGGGCTGGGTGCGACGAGTGGGAGGGGGCTGGGTGCGACGAGTGGGAGGGGGCTGGGTGCGACGAGTGGGAGGGGGCTGGGTGCGACGAGTGGGAGGGGGCTGGGTGCGACGAGTGGGAGGGGGCTGGGTGCGACGAGTGGGAGGGGGCTGGGTGCGACGAGTGGGAGGGGGCTGGGTGCGACGAGTGGGAGGGGGCTGGGTGCGACGAGTGGGAGGGGGCTGGGTGCGACGAGTGGGAGGGGGCTGGGTGCGACGAGTGGGAGGGGGCTGGGTGCGACGAGTGGGAGGGGGCTGGGTGCGACGAGTGGGAGGGGGCTGGGTGCGACGAGTGGGAGGGGGCTGGGTGCGACGAGTGGGAGGGGCTGGGTGCGACGAGTGGGAGGGGGCTGGGTGCGACGAGTGGGAGGGGGCTGGGTGCGACGAGTGGGAGGGGGCTGGGTGCGACGAGTGGGAGGGGGCTGGGTGCGACGAGTGGGAGGGGGCTGGGTGCGACGAGTGGGAGGGGGCTGGGTGCGACGAGTGGGAGGGGGCTGGGTGCGACGAGTGGGAGGGGGCTGGGTGCGACGAGTGGGAGGGGGCTGGGTGCGACGAGTGGGAGGGGGCTGGGTGCGACGAGTGGGAGGGGGCTGGGTGCGACGAGTGGGAGGGGGCTGGGTGCGACGAGTGGGAGGGGGCTGGGTGCGACGAGTGGGAGGGGGCTGGGTGCGACGAGTGGGAGGGGGCTGGGTGCGACGAGTGGGAGGGGGCTGGGTGCGACGAGTGGGAGGGGGCTGGGTGCGACGAGTGGGAGGGGGCTGGGTGCGACGAGTGGAGGGGGCTGGGTGCGACGAGTGGAGGGGGCTGGGTGCGACGAGTGGGAGGGGGCTGGGTGCGACGAGTGGGAGGGGGCTGGGTGCGACGAGTGGGAGGGGGCTGGGTGCGACGAGTGGGAGGGGGCTGGGTGCGACGAGTGGGAGGGGGCTGGGTGCGACGAGTGGGAGGGGGCTGGGTGCGACGAGTGGGAGGGGGCTGGGTGCGACGAGTGGGAGGGGGCTGGGTGCGACGAGTGGGAGGGGGCTGGGTGCGACGAGTGGGAGGGGGCTGGGTGCGACGAGTGGGAGGGGGCTGGGTGCGACGAGTGGGAGGGGGCTGGGTGCGACGAGTGGGAGGGGGCTGGGTGCGACGAGTGGGAGGGGGCTGGGTGAGACGAGTGGGAGGGGGCTGGGTGAGACGAGTGGGAGGGGGCTGGGTGAGACGAGTGGGAGGGGGCTGGGTGAGACGAGTGGGAGGGGGCTGGGTGAGACGAGTGGGAGGGGGCTGGGTGAGACGAGTGGGAGGGGGCTGGGTGAGACGAGTGGGAGGGGGCTGGGTGAGACGAGTGGGAGGGGGCTGGGTGAGACGAGTGGGAGGGGGCTGGGTGAGACGAGTGGGAGGGGGCTGGGTGCGACGAGTGGGAGGGGGCTGGGTGAGACGAGTGGGAGGGGGCTGGGTGAGACGAGTGGGAGGGGGCTGGGTGCGACGAGTGGGAGGGGGCTGGGTGCGACGAGTGGGAGGGGGCTGGGTGCGACGAGTGGGAGTGATGGTGGTATGCGTGATTTGATTGATAGTCTGGGTCTCGCCTTAGAGCTTCCAGTACATACATAGAGGAGGGTTGTTTTGAGTCGATTCAAAACGATAGTCTGGGTCTCGCCTCACCTAGGAGCTTCCAGTATATACATAGAGGAGGGCACTAGGAATGTGGAGGCGACTAGGATCGAGTGGAAGGAGGAGGGCAGGGCATGGTGAGATAAGTGTCGGTCATTCTTGCCTTGACCCACTCTCTTTGCTCCCTCGCCTTCAATCCCCCCCTCTCCCCCCACCAACCAACCCCCCCCCAACCAACCCCCCCCCCACCCCCACCCCTCGGCAACATCTGTGCCCTCCGCCTTACATCCCTCTTCGTCCACTCCCACTCCGTCATCTGCTCTCTCTCCCTCCTCTGCCCCCTCTCCCATCATCCACCCTCTCTCTCATCGTCCCCCTCTCCCTCGTGTGCTCTGCTCTGCAGGACCTGACAGCGCCAAAGCCCAAGCAGGACAAGCCAGGCAAGAAGAGACATTTGAGTCGACTCAGAACCCAACTCTCCCACCCTCCTGCCCCTCTCCCATCGTGGTTTGTGCTGCTCTGTAGGACCTGACAGCGCCAAAGCCCAAGCAGGACAAGCCAGGCAAGAAGAGACAACTGGAGGAGCAGGAGAGGTGAGATGGCTTGTCATTCACTTGAGAGGCACTTCTCTCACTCCTTTCTCTCACTCACCCCTCTTACTCACTCCTCTCACTCACTCTTCCCACTCACTCCTCTCACTCACTCTCTCACTCATTCTTCCCACTCACTCCTCTCACTCACTCCCCTCAATCGCTTTTAAAATCTCGCTGTGTGATTCTCTCATAGAAGATCATGCTACCGAATGATAAAGGCAGGCATATATAGCACAACAGTGTTTCAGTGTTGCCCCCCCCTCTCTCTTCCCCCCGGGCCCGTTCCATGTGCCAAGCCAATCGCCTGCAGCTTGTTTGAAAGGTTCGAGCTTATATGAGCTCTCTGATTCCCTCTCTCTTCCCCCCGGGGCCCTTCCATGTGCCAAGCCAATCAGCTTGTTTGAAAGGTTCGAGCTTATATGAGCTCTCTGATTCCCTCTCTCTTCTCCCTGTGCCCCTCTCCTCTAGCGTCCCTCTCTTCTAGTGGTTTGAGTTTATTTAAACTCTGGCTCTCTTTCTCTCTTCGCGTACCTCCTCCTCCTGTGCCCCTCTCCCTCACCCTGCAGCTTCTTCAAGTGGTTTGAAGTGGACGAAGCAACTCAGGGCACCACAGCACCCGATGATGTGAGTTGGAGCGGTGGGGGTAGTGGAATGGGGGTCGGAGCGATGGGGGTAACAGTGGAGGGAAATTTTGAGTCGACTCAATAGTATTAAGTGATCTGAAGTGGACGAAGCCTCTCAGGGCACCACAGCACCCGATGATGTGAGTTGGAGCGGTGGGGAGGGGGGATGATGTGAGTCAGAGCGGTGGGGAGGGGGGATGATGTGAGTCAGGGACAGGGATAGAGGATGATGAGAGAGTCAGAGCAACGGTGATAGAAATCAAGGATGATGATGTGGGATTTCCTCAGTCCCACCCACTCCCTGCCACTCACTCTTCCCATCGCTCTTCCTCACTGCTCAATGACATTCAAACGATTTTTCCGTGGCACCTGGAAGAAAATAAATTAAACGGTCTCGCGCGTCTCTGTGCCGCTCCGCTCCGCCCCTCTGCCTCTCTGCTTCCCTGTCTCTTCCACATGAATGTGCCGCTGCGCCTCTTCTGAGTCGACTCAAAAGTCAATTCCACACGAATGTGCCGGTGTGCCTCTTCTCCGCTGTGGCAGGTGGCAGAGCTGATCAAAGACGACGTGTGGGCCAACCCGCTGAATCACTACCTACAGGTGAGAGGGGGCGGATGTGCGATGAGGGGGCGGGTGGGAGGGTGACTGGGGAGGCATTGCCGTGAACGGGGAGGGAAGGGTGGCAGGTGGCAGAGCTGATCAAAGACGACGTGTGGACCAACCCGTTGCAGCACTACCTGCAGGTGCGAGGGGGCGGATGAGAGGGGGCGGGCTCATGGGGAGGTATTGTTATGTGGAGGAGTGATTGTTTTTTTTTTCACATGTTAATCCTAGCCTCATTCCTTGGCGCTTGTTGTAAGTTGCTTGGAGCAGTGATCAATGGCAGTGATTGCGCGTGAGCTCGGTGGGTGTGGGAGAGATGATTCTCCTCTGTGCAGGATTCGAAGCATCTCGAGGCATCTCAATCACATGTAGTCCATGGTCTGTCGTCGCGATGGTTCCCTCTCCTTTGTGGGTCGCAGGAAGGGGAGGATTTTGAGGAGGATGAGGATGACGAGGAGGGGGGTGAGGGGGAGGAAGGGGAGGAGGACGATGATGAGGATGGCGATGGGGAGGAGGTGAGTTGTCCATACATTCACGTTACGTTTTGAAGGCTGATTCCTTTTAGCGTATCAAGCTTCAGGTTTGCTGAGGTGAGCTGTTCATGTTTATGATTCATGATTCATGAAGCAAACCTTAGTAGGTGAGCAGCTTATGATTCATGAGGTGAGTAGGTGAGTGAACTTGTAATTGTATGGTGGGTAAGTCAATTCTGTCAACTCATGGGTGTCATCAGCACCAGCCAGTTTGTCTAACAACAAATTGCATGTTTCTCATCTCTGTTGTCCACTGCAGGAGGCAGAGGAAGATGAGGGATGAAGGCTGAAAGCCTTGTTGCCTTTCATCCCACTCTCAGGTCAGGTTCTGGTGCTTTTTCCCCAGTGGGAAATCATTAGAAATAGGCGTCAGTAGGTGGCTGCCATTTCAACAAGTGGAAATGGCACCTTTCACTCTCAATAGTGCACTCTGCACACCTACCTACCCAGCTTTCACTCTGTCATTCCTATAGAAGGTGCTATGCCGTGTGCAGTGCATAGGGGGTTGACGGAATAGCATTGTGCTGCAATGCATATTTTAGATTGAGGCATCTGGCTCATGGCAAGCTGCCATGAAGGACGGGGGTACACTGGCTACAGGTTCATCTGTGATTCTGTGGATTCAATGCATGACAAACAAGGTCAGATGCACTAATGCAGTAATTTTTCAACATCTGGCTGACTCCAGTGCCATCACATCAACTTAGGCTGTGATTTGTACATTGTAAAGAGGAAACGGGACACCATTCTAAACTGCTACCAGTTCTTCCATACCCCCCAGCCCAGGGGAACCTTGGCAAACTGCCCTCTAGCAACCCCTGCAGGCAGGCTAGCAGAGGAAACGACAGCATAGAAGTTTGTGGGCTTGGCAGCAATGGACTCAAACACTGCCTTGTATCTCTTCCCATTGGCTGCTGTCAAACCACTCACGTTCTGCCACGTGCCTTTGAAGCTGTATGTGTAGACAGACACGGCAGCAGGCGTTGCACCGATTCCGAATCTCCTTGTACCCTGCCCCCAGGCGTTCCCTGCTGCAATGGCTCCGGCAGTACCAGTAATGTTGATCCACGTGGCAGAAGATGAGAGGTCGAGGACGACAGGGCCTGAGGTCTTGGCTGCCCCGCTGTTGATGGAAACTGCGGTTGGGATCTCTGGCGAAGAAACCTGGATGGTTACATTGTAACGGATGTTGAAAGTGGAGGTGCTGGTTTTGATGAGGGCGAGGCTGACGCGACCAGCAGAGTTGACGTCGCCGGTTACTTGGCCGGTCTGGTTGACGATATTGACGCCCAGGAGAACCGCCTCTACTGCGCCTGCAATCTTGGGCGGGAACTTGTACTTGGAGCTGTTGTCGTTGGGTTTCTGGCAGGCGACTTGAGAAATCGCAAGGAGAGATAGAAGGACGAGAGACAGGGCAATCTTGCTGAAACCCATGGCTAAGATACTCGCTCGAGACGTTTTAAGAAAGAGTAAGCGAGGCTTGCAGCGCTGTGCTTGGTGAGAAGAGCTAGGAAACTTGCGGAAAGCGTGTTACTATTAGTAGCGTTGATCGAGATTGAATGCTCTGCTGTGTTGATATGACTGGAAAATGTGGTGGTTCCAAATGTATACATGTGCTGGTTCTCCTGATTCTCGAATAGAGCAATTTCTATCCCGAGTCGGGCTGTTGAAAGCTCGCGCCGCATGAAGGTGAGCACAACATGGGACAGCGCACCGTCTGAGAATGGGCGATTTGTTGACGGTGACGCGGTAGCTTTTGACGGAAACTGGCTTCGCAGAAGGATGCGAAGCTCGCAGGCCACTTGTTCAGATTGTCATGACGTGAAAACCACGACTAGGTGGTTCCCATTTCCGGTTGCCGACAGTCGGTCTATGTCTCGCCAAAAATGGTGCTGTAGATTCTTCGCTTGGCGCCGTCAAACCGTTCGAGGGTAACTTCGCAATAACCTCGTTAGTGCCACCTTCGTATTCTCACCTATTACTGTAACGACCTCCAAAGCATATGCAATGTGAATGTCGTACGTGGCGTAGTGCTATCGAGTTAGATCCTTATTCCAATCTCATTGGGTGGTATTGAATCCACGTGTCCTATACTGGATGGATAGACATTGCTTTATCCGCGATTCCGAAATTATGTAACTTCGTTGCCTCGCGTGCTTCGCTAGCCCCAACATCGACAGTGTAACACGATGTGGTGTGAAGATGCGAAACCGAGGCAGGCCGGAAACCCTCTAAACCCCCAGCTGGCCACGAAGTCTGCGGAAGCCACTCCGCCACACGTACGACTCGAAGTTGTCGTCAGGCCAATCATCTTTCGAGAGTCACTTCTGCCGAGCCTCAACCAAATCAGCCTTTCTTTGGGCAAACAGGCCACCTTCTGATCTCCCCAAACCAAACCACTTGTGGTACCTCGTTCGCGGAATCATTCCGAATGTCAATGTACGAACCTCATCCGTCAGTCACAGTCACAGAAAGGCAGCTCCTCCTCCACTAGCTGCTCTGGAAGGGTTTTCATGACGGTTAAGGAATCGTACCGCTTCAAGGAGCACAGCATCGTTCTCAACCGTTGTCACCCAACTAAGAAGTGACATGCTTGATCTGCTCGATTTGTGAAAAGGGCAAGCTGTGGCTCTCTTGACAGTGGTCTCCTGATCCGAGAGCATCTCAGCAGCAGCCTTGGGAGTGTCGTTTGGCTGAGGCCTTCTGGTGCCCCTTATTCCTCTGCCTCCTGTGCCGATTGCGCTGAAGCAGCTGATCGGTCTTTTTCTTCGCACTGCTAGAACGTTCTGAATCACCTGACGTGACGTAGCAGTGTGCAGCAATTCGTCCTTGTCGCGGGCTTTTTTTGGCTTCAGCGCTCCTGTTCATTCTCGTTATTACGATCAGAGATCGTCGTATCGATCTAATCAACGGTCAAGATGGTTGGGATGCAGATCGACGAGCTTCTGACCTCAGACGAGCATGCCGTCGCCAAGACTAAGATCATCTGCACGCTCGGGCCGAAATCCCGAGAAGTCCCTATCCTGGAGAACTTGCTTCGCGCGGGAATGAGCGTCGCGCGCTTTAATTTCTCCCACGGGTCGCACGAATACCATCAGGAGACCCTGGACAATCTTCGCACCGCGTCCTCCAATACCGGCATCATGTGCGCCGTGCTGCTGGATACCAAGGTAATTAAACACTTTCGTTAGGTAATTAATGCTTATGTATTGATAGCGACCCTCTTTCGTAGGTCACCTGAAACATTCCTTCATCATGTTTTTCAGCAGCATATTTACAAATTATTCTGCTCTCCATCACTGGTTATAGTGGTATGCTATTCGAACAGGTTGCCTCTCTATTGGCTTTTACCATCTGTGGCCCTGTAAATAGACGTCTTATATAGCCCTTATACTCCCGGCAGCGATTGCCTTCCACGGCTTTCCGCTGGACACGGAATGATATGTCTGAGTTGCCGTCGCTCCCAATAGTTGCCGTGTCCCAGTCCCCGCCTTATTGCCGTTCTATCCGCAATCTGCTGGGATTGGGACGGAATGCTGTAAGAGCGGCGACTCGTTTAGCTGCGCACGGTGCTCGTCCAGAACCGCAAAGCTGCACAGCGAACATGACCACGCGGGAACCCTATCACCCGTAACCCTATTCGCAACCCCGTCAACTCCCCTTACCCCCATCCCCTTTGCCTTGAGAAGATTTCGACGTAAATATTAATCCCCCTCGCCACCATTTCCCCCTTCCCCTCCGCTTTTTCCCCGCTCCCCTCCCCCTCGTCCGCCCTCCCAGGGTCCGGAGATCCGCACGAGGTTTTCAAGGACGGGAAGTCGATGCAGCTGGTGAAGGGGCGCGAGGTGACGATAACGACGGACCACGAGGCTACAAGAGCCTCCCTGGACTCCTGGGTTCTGACGTGAATTTTGAGTCGAATTCAAACGACAAATCCCGGACCCCTTGTTTCCCCTCCTCCCCCTCCTCTCTCCCCTCCCCTCTCCTTTTCCCGCCCCTCTCTGTCGCCTTTCAGGGCCCGGAGATCCGCACGGGGTTCCTGAAGGACGCCAAGCCGGTGCAGCTGGTGAAGGGGCGCGAGGTGACGATAACGACGGACTACGAGGCGCTGGGCGACGAGACCACCATCGCCATGAGCTACAAGAGCCTGCCCAGCGACGTCAAGCCCGGCGGACAGATTCTCTGCGCCGACGGGTCAATCACGCTCAGCGTGATCTCGTGCAACCCCGCGGCAGGGTGAGTGAGAGGCCGGTGCTACTCTTGGGTGGGAAATTTCTAGGCGCTTATGAATTGCCTCATATTCTGTGTGAGAAGCCTTATGAGACGTGAAGCCCGGCGGACAGATTCTCTGCGCCGAAGGCTCAATCGCGCTCAGCGTGCTCCCGTGCAACCCCGCGGAAGGGTGAGAGGCCGGTGGTACTCTTGGGTGTAAAATCTCTAGGCGCTTCAGAAATTGCTGCGAGAATTGTTGTGAGACGCGTCAGTGGAGGTCGAGCCGGGAGGACAATTCGTGCGTGCCGACGGGACCATCAAGGCTAGCGTGGTCTCAATCTCATGCGGGCCAAGGAAGGGTGAGAAGCTTGTGCTAGTAAAGGGGGATAATGGTTTGAGGCGCCTCAATAAGCGTGAAGCCGGGAGGAGGACAGACTCGCTGCGCCGACAGACAGGTCCTTCATGCTCAGCGTGCTCTCTTGCGACCCCGCGGTAGGGTGAGACGCTGGTGCCAGTCGTATGAAGTTTGAGGAGCCAGTGCCGATACTGGGTAGGAAGGGTCGCTTTCTCTTGCCTTTTCAAGGGTCAGTGCCCGAGACGTGTAAATTCGTCATACATCCACTCCTCAGTCCCTCCTCTCCTTGCCCCCACTCCAACCCCACCCCACCCAGTCCCAACATCTGGCAGTGCTGGGGGAGTGCAAGATTGTGATTTTCCTCTGGGTGATACTGTCAGTCCACTTATCTCTCCCTTCCGACCCCGTCTCCCTACCGCCTCCCGCTCCGAATCAATCATTGGCAGCACGGTGCAGTGCCGCTGTGAGAACACAGCAGTGTTGGGCGAGCGCAAGAACATGAACCTCCCGGGTGTGTTAGTTTCTCCTTTTCTTGTCCTTTGTGCCCCCTCCTGCTCCCAACCAACGACTGGCAGCACGGTGCAGTGCCGGTGGGAGAACACGGCCGTGCTGGGCGAGCGCAAGAACGTGAACCTGCCGGGGGTGATCGTAGATCTGTCCCCCCCTGCACATCCCCCATCCCTCCCTTCCTCTTCTACCGCCTTCCCTTCCCATCTCGCCTTCCCTCCCAACCAACATTTGGCAGCACGGTGCAGTGTCGGTGGGAGAACACGGCCGTGCTGGGCGAGCGCAAGAACGTGCAATGACCGTGTGTCTGTCCCCTTATTCGTGTCCCGGCTGCCCGTGCTCCCTCCCGCTCCCAATCATTAACTGGCAGCACGGTGCAGTGCCAGTGTGAGAACACGGCCGTGCTGGGCGAGCGCAAGAACGTGAACCTGCCGGGAGTGATAGTGGACCTGCCGACCATCACGAGCAAGGACGAGGAGGACATCATGCAGTGGGGCGTGCCCAACCGCATCGACTTCATTGCTGCTTCCTTTGTGCGCAAGGGGTCGGACCTTGGGATCATCCGCAAGCTGCTGGGGCCGCAGTTCAGCAAGTCCATCCAGATCATCTCCAAGGTGAGACATAAGGCACAGGTGCAAAAATCAATGAGTCGCTTATAGCGCATCAACTTCATTGCTGCTTCCTTTGTGCGCAAGGGGTCGGACCTTGGGATCATCCGCAAGCTGCTGGGGCCACAGTTCAGCAAGTCCATCCAGATCATCTCCAAGGTGAGATGAAACGCACAGTGCCCTAGGTGAGATGAAATGGAGCACAGCTTCATTGCAGGAAGCTTCCTATAGACGTACATATCCGGATGAATGTGAGTGTCACGGCATTCTCCAAAAGCGGAGTGAAATAATGGAGAATACATGTTACATTTTAAAGCGTTCATACCCATGGCACCTTGTGTGCTCCTGCCCTCCCTGACACGTGGAAAACCAGGAAAGGCTTGTCAGCTTTGATGGCATTCTGTGGAGTAAATTGGCATTGTGGTTAACTCATGAATTATTATCTTGTGCTTTTGTTTCCCTGTGTGCTGTGTCCTTGGTTCCCCTTTGATTCCCCCTGAATAACAGGTGGAGAACCAGGAGGGGCTGGTGAACTTTGATGACATTCTGCGCGAGTCAGACGGCATCATGTAAACTCATCTCATTCTGTACTCTTGTTACCCCGTGTGCTGTTGTTTTGATTCCCCTTGGTTCCCCCCTCACAGGTGGAGAACCAGGAGGGGCTGGTGAACTTTGATGACATTCTGCGCGAGTCAGACGGCATCATGGTTGCTCGAGGCGACCTGGGCATGGAAATCCCCATCGAGAAGATCTTCCTCGCACAGAAGATGATGATCCACAAGTGCAACGCTGCAGGTGAGCCAGAGGCTTGTAGTGAAGAGCACTGTAGAGGGGTCTTGGTGTAGCTATGGAAATCCCCATTGGAAGGATCTTCCTCGCACAGAAGATGGTGATCCACAAGTGCAACGTCACAGGTGAGACAGGCTTGTAGTGAAGTGCACTGTAGAGGAGTTTTTAGTGTAGCTATGGAGATAGCCATTCAGAAGATCTTCTTCGCACAGAAGATTATGATTTGCAAGTGCAACACTACAGGTGGGAAAGAGGCTTGTAGTGAAGTGTACTGTATGTAGGTGTTTAGCGTAGGTATGCTGTCCTCAATAGTAAGATCTCTCTCGCACAGAAGATGATTACTCGCAAATGGTCGAGTCCATCTTTAATTCGCCCAGTCCCACACTAGCCTCTCACATGCGCCCGCACATGTCTCCAAGTTCACATGGTTTCCCCAGCAAGCAAATGCCATCAAGTACTGGTCCCCCTTCCTCCTTCCCCCTTCCCCCTTCCCCCTCCCTCCTCCAGGCAAGCCGGTGGTGACAGCAACACAGATATTGGAGTCGATGACCAAGGCACCCCGCCCCACACTAGCCACATGCACCATGTCACGTCCCCCACTCTCTCCAATTCCCGCCCCTCAAACCTCCCTCCCCTCCCTGTCCAGGCAAGCCGGTGGTGACGGCCACACAGATGCTTGAATCCATGACCAAGTCCCCCCGCCCCACGCGAGCGGAGGCGACGGACGTGGCGAATGCAGTGCTGGACGGCACCGACGCCGTCATGCTGTCCGGGGAGACGGCAGCGGGCTCATGGCCCGTGGAGGCCGTCACTGTCATGGCGAGGATTTGCCGTGAGGCGGAGGCGTCGCTGGACTACCACTCCATCTTCAAGACCATCATGGCTGAGGCTGCCATGCCCATGAGCCCGCTGGAGAGTCTCGCGTCCTCTGCTGTGCGCACTGCCAACAAGGTGAGAACTCCTCCCTGTTGTTTCTAAGGCGGCTCAAAAAGGGTATGTGCCCAGTGGGTGCTGTGAGGCAGAGGCGTCGCTGGACTACCACTCCATCTTCAAGACCATCATGGCTGAGGCCGCCATGCCCATGAGCCCCCTGGAGAGTCTTGCATCTTCTGCCGTGCGCACTGCCAACAAGGTGAGTTGTAGTCCCTGCTTTCCTCGCCCGTCAAATGCCATAATCCTCCTATTTCTTTCCACCCTCCCTCTTTTTTGCCTTCTCCCTTGCGCTTCCAGTGCCTCCCCCTTCCCCCTTTCTCCCCCCCCCCCTCCCCCCCCACCCCTCCCCTTCACCCCCCTTCTCCCTCCCCCCACTCCCTGAGATTTTCTACTCTGCTCTGTCATGTCAAGTGCCGTTACTGACTCTCTTCGGAACCACACCCGTCTGCACCCACTCCACCGTCATCCCCACCCCATGCAATCGTTCCCCTCAGGCGCGTGCGGTGCTCATCATTGTGCTCACCAGGGGAGGCTCCACGGCCAAGCTAGTGGCCAAGTACCGCCCGCCCATGCCCATCCTCTCTGTAGCCGTCCCCGTTATGACGTCGGACGACCTCACATGGTCTATCAGTGACGAGTCTCCCGCGAGGCATGCGCTTGTGTGTCGCGGTCTCGTCCCGTTGCTGGCTGAGGGGGCTGCGAGAGCCACGGATTCGGATACGACTGATGAGCTTATCTCAGCGGCATTGAGAGCGGCCAAGCTGAGGGGGTTCTGCCGTGAAGGGGAGTCAGTCGTTGCGCTTCACCGCATCGGGAATGCGGCTGTGATCAAAATCATCTCGGTGAAGTAAATTTGTAGAGGTGTTTCCTTTGATTCTTCATTAGCTATTTTCTTGCACTCTGTACTACCTCCGGAATTTAGTCCGGAAGTTGTAGTTTCTTGCCAACCAGGCCTGCTTCACTTTGGGAACATTGGAGCAAAGTCCTATATGTTCCTGTTTTTATTTTAACAAATTTAGCGGTACATGCTGAGTCCGAAGTGTCTGCTTGTAGAGGGTTTCCTTGTTTCTTGAACACATCAGAACTTTCAAGCGTGACGGCTATTGGTCGACGAGACGGTTACATGTGAGCATGAATTTGTTATTTCCCCAGGCAAACGTGAGCTGGCTCTTCTCCCCCCAACTTTTCGTCAGTTCGCATGCACGATTCTCACCTCACCTTACGACAACATGGCGACTCGTATCGACAAATTCGACAGGCAGGCACAACAATCTCGAGGCACCGACACTTTCAGACGACAAGCGAGGAACCAGACGACACACAACATCGAATGCGAAATCAACATTTTCTTTCGCAAATTAGTGATACATATCCCTCCCCTCGAAATCTATCCGCGAAAACCATCACCGGAGATTCCGCCAAACCAAAATGCGAAGCGCGCGAATTGACGCAACCTATCTAACGCGATTCGACGAATTCATCACCTCTCCCACTCATCTCGATCACCAAATTCCCCATCTTGTGAAAACTTTGTTGCCATCCAGAACCTCACTCCATCCACGTCCACGTTTCCTTAGTTTTGCCCGAGTCAACTTCAGAATCTATAGAATTATTCGTCGCCAGGAGATATTTCTAATTCGCCTTGACTCTCATACGTCTCCAGAATGCGGAATTCAAGCATGTTCATCGCGAGACGGATACTGTTAGGCATCGTCCTTCTCCTCCTGCTTTCAGGTACCTGAAACAATGCCCTAACGTGACTCGCGTATGGTACTGAAAATGACTCGTGCTCTCTGGCTCTCTCACACGTTGCGCTTATACCTCCTCTTATTACAGCATGCTCCTTAGCGAAAGGGAGCGGAGGAGGCGGCGGGAAAGGGAAAGGCAGTGGGAATGCAAAAAAAGGCGGGGCCAGCAAGGGAGCAGGGAAGGGCAAGGGCGGCAAACTGTTTGGCTTCTTGGGCGGCCGAACGCGCGTTCTCGGTGAGTGCATTTGTCGTTTTCGTTAACATCCTAACATCCTGTACGTCGATTTTCCTGGTCGCCTTCGCAATGTCGCATCCCTCGCACAGCGACACTGCTTCGCACAAAGGGTTCCCTTGTTGTGAAATTGCTCAAGTATGATGCGCGCTGGAAAATTTGTATCAAGCAATGCTGTTTTCGCAAGAAAGTGTAACGCGCATCGCGATATCCCTTCACGACGTGGCTCGGCGCGCAGGCTCGGTGCAAGCGAAGCTACAAGGAAAGTTCGTGGTGGACGATATGGGTGCCAGCGCGGGTGCTCCCAACGCAATCGGGGCGCTGGCTCTGGTTTCTCTCAGGTGCGGTGCGGCTGAGAGTCGATTGTCTTGTCGTTTGCCCCGCAGCAATGATCGCAGCCTTAAGTTCAGTGCTTATTCAGGTACGAGTGTCGGCGGAGTGCCGAACTAGTGATGCACGACTTGGATTAACGCCAGATCACCGCTTCCCCCGACCCAACCGCTCTTCCCCCCTTTCGCCCTGTCCCTTCGCCTCCCACACGCCTCTCTGTCACCCTTCTCACCTCCCTCCTCCAGCAACGGAACTATCACATTCGCAGCGCGTCTTGAACTGGCCCAACTCGAGCTCCCTTCCTCCATGTCCATCAACACTGGTCGTGCTTTGAGTCGACTGAAACCCCCTCTCATCTCCCTCTCACCCCCTCGCATCCCCTCTCCTCCCCTTCACCTCCCTCCCCCAGCAACGGAACCATCTCATTCACAGCGCGTCTCGAACTCTCCCAGCCCGAGCTCCCTTCCTCCATCTCCATCAACACGGCCGCCAAAGGCGCTACAGGCGACGTTCTTATCGACCTCTCGTCTGACGCCACGTGGCAGAACGTTACGGATAGGGTCATCATAGCCAAAATGGCCAGACCTGGGTTTGGTTCGGATCGGCCCGATCGGAATCCGTACGTGTATGTTTTTAAAGGGTCGTGGAGAGATGCTACAGCGTTGACTACTACAGACGGATCTACTTATAAAGAGGTGTTTGATGAGATACGCAAGACGCCTGCGGCATTCTATGCGACTGTAGAGACTGGGAATTTTATTTACGGCGCTGCCCGCGGGCAGTTTGCTAAGCCTAACCGTGGGTTGGGCGTCTTCAGAAAGGCCCGCAATTGAAGAGTGTAAAAGTGCATGTTGTGGTGGGTTTTGTTTGGCATAGTCAACCATGCCATTCCTTCTATTAAAATAGGAATTGTGTTGTGAAACTACCGTAGCGCCCGTATGTTTAGTACCGTGTAAATCTCGTGAATGGTATTGCACTTGTAGGCAACTTGGAAGGTTACTGTTGACCTACATGCGAAATCAATGCAACTTTAGATATTACATCATGGGCTGCAGCTGCTGCACTAGTCAAACGACTAACGCTAATGCAGAGGTGAAGCAGCAAGCGAGGATGGCATGGCATGTGATGTGATGCGATGCGGAAGTTGCACGGCGATTGTGCTGCTGAGATAGCAACACATTAGCACGATGCCTTCTCCGCGCACGCACTCTCATCACTAGCACCATATTGAAGTCGCTTTGAGAACTCTCAAAAGTACTGCCGCCATTGCCACTGCCACTTCCGCCGCCGCTGCCGCCGCTGCCGCCGCCGCTGCCGCCGCTGCCGCCGCCGCTGCTGCTGCTGCTGCTGCTGCTGCTGCCGCCGCCGCTGCCGCCGCTGCTGCTGCTGATGCCGCTGCTGCTGCTGATGCCGCCGCTGCTGCTGCTGCGCCCATTCTCCCCACTCTTCCACATCATGCGAGTGAATGAGGCACAACTCACCTCCTCACCTGCATCGAGCATCACCCCACTTCCCCGCCCTCACCTCACCTCCCACCATGCACATCAGAGTGGCCCCATTAGCGCCACTGCCCGCGCAGTCCCACTCCCAGCCTTCCCCACTCACTGGCTCTCACCCTTTCCCACTCACTACTCCCCCTGCCACTGCTGCTGCCTTGACCCCCTATCCCCTCTGTCCCCCATTCTCCTTATTCCCCCGCCACTACCATCCCTGCTGCCATCCCTCCACTTCTTTCATTTTTCCTTAAACTCCCCCTTTCCCCTGTTCTTCCTTTTTGCTCCATTCCAACCCATCCCCCCCATTATCCCATTCACCCTGTTATCCCGATTCCCCCTTTCTTCTCCTCATTCCCACCAACGCCCGTTCCCATTTTTAACCCCTGTTTTCCCCCTTCCCACTGTTCTACTTCCCCTCGTGATCCCCATCCCCCCCGTTATCCCCATTCCCCCCATTACCCCCGTTTCCCCCGTCCCCATTCCCCCCATTATCCCCATTTCCCCCGTCCTCATCCCCCCCGTCCTCCCCCCCCTGCAGGTCGACTTTGAACACGAAGGTAGCCCAGTTGCTCCATTCACTTCGCGGCTGCCCCGCCACATACTGCACTGCCGCCCACGCGTTGCCCTCCTCGTCGATCGTTGCCGTCATGTAGTCGCCAAAACGATGCTCCGTCGCACCAAAGCGGTATCCTGGGGGGGGAGGGATGCGCGGGGATGTGTGTTGGAGGAGGGAGGGGATGGATGCGCGGGGATGTAGTGCGGTGTCATGTAGTCGCCAAAACGATGCTCCGTCGCACCAACGCGGTACCCTGGGGGGGGAGGGATGCGCGGGGATGTGTGTTGGAGGAGGGAGGGGATGGATGCGCGGGGATGTAGTGCGGTGTCATGTAGTCGCCAAAACGATGCTCCGTCGCACCAACGCGGTACCCTGAGGGGGAGAGAGGAGGGTGGATGGAGGTGCGTGTGGGGGTAGGAAAGGGGGGGAGGCCACTGGCCGTACCGATGCTCCGTTGCACCGTTCAAATACCGTGAGCAGGGAAGTGCGGGTGTGTTGCATGCACGGGAGGAGAGAGAGAGAGTGGTGGGAACCCTTTTCATGTAGCAGCTCTTTCTCACAAGCACCTCGCATGCAGTCCGCATGGGTTCTCTCTCTCTCTCTCTCTCATCCCCGTGGGCTGCCTCTCAACTGCCTTTTCTTTCCAAACTGGCAAAAGGCAGCTACAGAGAGCCCAACTATATTGGTGCGACTTTTGAGAATTCTCAAAAGTCGCACCTTTTCTTGCCCAACTGGGAAAAGGCAGCCAGAGAGAGCCCAAGTGGCAACAAAAAAGTACCAGGAAGCAGCGAAGCAAACATAAGAGGAGCAAGCATCATCTTGCTCACCCTTGTAGTCGTCGAGAGGCGCTTTCCCCGCGCCGGCAATGACGACGCGGCCGACATCCACATTGGCGTTGAGAGTGGCATAGGCAGCTGAGGGGTAGAAGGAACGCCCTGCCAGCGATGCTGCTATGATGCCTTTGCCGTGCCTGGGGAGGGGCGTGAGGGGATGGCAAGAGAGAAAGAAGACGGGTTGATGCTGCTATGATGCCCTTGCCTTGGCTGCACCAGGGGAGTGAAGGAATGGCAAGAGAGAAAGAAGAGGGGTTTGCTGCTGTTATGATGCCCTTGCCAAGCCTGAGGGGTGGAGGGGGGAGGGGGGTTGAAGGAGAGAGAGGTGAAGGAAAGGAGAGGCACTGCAGAGAATCTTTGCCACTTCTCCCTGCAGGAGAGAGAGGAGAGGTTGACAAAAAAGAGAAGAGGAAACGGTAGCAGAAGGGGATGTGATGCTGCAATTCCAACACTGACCCATGCTGGGATGGGTTGGGATGCGATGTGATGTCGTTTCTGGAAGGAAACAAAGCGTGGAAAAATTACCAAGGAAGTGACATCACATCGTATGTTCCCCACTGGTAACCAAGGCTGCACTGGGATGTTCCCCACTTCCTCTAATAACTCCTCCTACCTTCCCTCCCTCCCTTTGGACCTCCACCCTCCTCTCTCCCACCTGTTAAGAGCAATGGTGCCCTGGATGAGGCTGTTCCCTCCGCCCACCCCCACCGCTTTGAACCGCTCCAAAAACACCCGAAGTGTCCGCCACTTGCGGTTGGGCCTCAGAGACAAGCGGAGCCTCACGACCACAGCAGCAGCACTCATCTCCTTGCCAAACGCCGACATAAAGCTGATCCACATGTGCCTCCTCTCCGGATTCACCACCACGCCTCTCGCATCGATCTCTGAAGGGCCGATAGGCTTGATCGTACTGTTCATCTGCCAAGCCAACGGAACAGGTCCGGGTTTTTGCTGCACAGGCTGGGGAACGAAGAACGGGGGAGTGTTGACGGCCGCACAGTGGGGTTCAACCAAGCGCTCGGCTTCAGGGGTTCCCAGAGCGCTTGTACCCGTTAGAGCGAAGGCTCCCACTGTGGTGAAGTTGGCGACAAGCACGGTTTCGTTTGGAGCACCACGGTTGGGGTTGACTCCCGTCCAGCCGAAATACATGGTGCCCCCGTGGCTGTAGTCGTAGTCCCCATCGGCTGCGACCTTCTGAGGGTAGATGGTGTAGGACGGACTGGTGAGGGCGTTGGTGTAAGGAACGACGAAGCGGAGAATGGTGGCATTCTCTGGATTCTGGAGCTGGGACTTGGCGAGTGCACTGGTTGGGGAGGAAGGGGAGGGGAGGAGGCATATTCACGTGTATTCTCAGGATTTTGGACTTACGACTTGGCGATTGCACTGCAGGGGGAGGAGGTTGAGGGGAGGGAAGGCAGAGGAGGAGGGAGGTGAGGAGCAGGAATGGAAGGAGAAGATGTGGAGGGAGAGGAGGAATAAGAGGACGGGGAGGATTGTGATGGGGTGATAAGAAGTGGATCTGATGGGAGAGATTTGTCACTAGAGCTTACACATGTGGGTATGCATGGATGCATGGATGCAGGTTTGCATGTGGGTATGCATGGATGCATGAGTCAGGCATGGTTGGAACCTGGAAGTGTTACGTACGCATGAGTATTGCATAAAGAAATGCGTAAGAACAGGGGAAGAAACAGGAATAACTCGCTTGCAAATACCTCCTGTGTTTGAGGTGCGTTAAGTGCCAGCACACTCACTATATGCCAGCCCCATATACTTGCTCAAATGTCTCCGAATATTGATTTACCGACACGAAAAATCCTGGCGAGGGAGAAAGGGGGATGCAGGCAGTGGAAAAGTCCCATGCAAGAAATTAATGGGCTGGAGAGGGCTGGAGAGGGCTGGAGAGGGCTGGAGAGGGCTGGAGAGGGCTGGAGAGAGCAAATATAGCTTCGGCAGGAGTCCCAAGATCAAGATTTGCGTGCTTCGATTAGCTGCAATGGAACCATACAAGGACTTGAGGTAGCATTGATGAATGAAACAATGGATCTTAAGCAATCTGATTGCAGCAGAGTTGAAGTGGAATGGGTGGGAACATAAACGGGCGCAATCCTGGACAAGATTGGCATATGTTCCTAGCTGGTACTCAAGAAAAAAAAAGGGGGGAAATCACATAAGGGTGAGGTTGGGATCTCGTGAACACCCAACCCAAGATTTGGGCTCATAAAATGAAGTACCATAGGCATACCATAGGCACATGATTGCTGCTTTTCTCTACCACACATACCATAGGCACATGATTGCTGCTTTTCTCTACCACACATACCATAGGCATCGGTGCCGATCTGAGGGTAGTCCGCTGAGGGGGGCAGGAAAGCAAAAGGGAGAGAAGGGGAGAAGGGCACCATGGAAAAGTGATGGGGGGACAGACACAAGAGGGGAAAACGAAAGGAGTGGGGGGTTCTGGACGGAAGGGCAACAGATGAATTAGAAGAGGCCAATTGCACGGCCAGAATGAGAAAGACGCGGAAGAGGATAGTTGACGTGTATAATGCATGAACACTAAACGGCTGGCGGTACAGACTATGCGCCTTCCGTACGTGGCATAGTTGACTGAATGTATATGTGTATTTATATATACAAATATATATACTCTCCTTAGCTCGCGCACATCATCACCCGACCATCACATGTCATCAACCGTGCCGTGCCATCAACCCCACCTTCACATGCAACCAAGCCAGCACACATACCATCACCCATACCATCACACATACCATCACACATACCGTTACACATACCATCACCCATACCATCACCCATACCATCACACATACCATCACACATACCATCACCCATACCATCACCCATACCATCACCCATACCATCACCCATACCATCACCCATACCATCACCCATACCATCACCCATACCATCACCCATACCATCACCCATACCATCACCCATACCATCACCCATACCATCACCCATACCATCACCCATACCATCACCCACACAATCATACGCGCCGCCAGCACACATGCCCAACATTCAACATACGAAAAGTGGTGAGTCGCGACGTGTTGAAGTGAAGAGGCGCCCTCCAGTCCGGATTGGAGTTGATGCCATCGTTGCTGGGAGAGGGGAGAGAGGAGGGGGGGAAGGACAGACGGAGGGGGGGAAGGACGGAGGGAGGGGGCTTTGAGGGAGGAAACGGTGCTTCCTGAACCTTGAAAGTGGAGAGGCGTTCTCCAGTCCGGATTGGAGTTGATGCCATCGTTGCTGGGAGATGTGAGAAATGGTGAGCAGTGAGAAAATGTGAGAAAATTGGTGAGAGGCAAAAAGGTGAAACCAAAACACACGGTGCAAAAAGGTGAGAAAGGGTGAGGAAAGGTGATGCAAAAGGCTGAAAACAAACAGGAGGCGAGCGTACGAGCCGGGAATGAAGAAGACGTTCCACTCCTGGGTGGGGTCGTCTGTGGTTGACAAAGTGTAAGAGATGGAATGGAATGTGAGAAAGTGAGAAAGTGTGAGCAAAAAGGGGCCGAGCGTACGAGCCGGGGATGAAGAAGACATTCCACTCTTTGGTGGGGTCGTCCGTGGTTGATGCCGCAACAATCATCCCTGAGCCCACTGTCACGTTGCCTCGCCTCCGCGTCTGCCCAAACTTGTCATACGTGTTGTTGGAACCGCCTGTCTGCACGTTGGGAGAGATTGGAATGGGAAGGAAGGAGGAGGGTGATGACAGGCAGTAAAGAGAGCGAGTGAAATGAGAGAGAGAACAGCAATAGGTCCTAAACGGGAGGGACGGAAACGACAGCAAGAGAAATGAGCGCGTGGAAATTGAGGGCGAGTAGATGAGAGGAAGAATAATGAGAGGTGGAAGGAAACACTTTAGGAAAACGAGACACGAGGGAAGAAACGTGAGGGAGGATCCAAGAAGGAAGAATACGAGAGGGTGGAAAACTGGAGAGGAACACAAGAGAGGGAGGAACACAAGAGAGGGAGGAAAACAAGAGAGGGAGGAACACAAGAGGCAGGAAAACAAGAGGTAGGAAAACAAGAGGCAGGAAAACAAGAGGCAGGAAAACAAGAGGCAGGAAAACAAGAGGCAGGAAAACAAGAGGCAGGAAAACGAGAGGGAAAAAAGAGGAGGAGAATGGGATTGCAGGAGGGAGGCGGGAGGGGGAAATGGCTTGGCAGGGTCAACCCAGTAAGTGGCGAGGGAAATGGCTCGGCGCAGGCTCGGCGCAGGCTCAGCACTCACAGTCCAGTAGGTGGCGAGGTAGAAGCGCCGGGACTGGCGGTCATACGTGCATGTCATGTCGCCAATGTTGTCTCCTAAAACTGATGTGTTGAACGGTTCCCTCTTCTCCACCACCCATGGCAGCATGCCAAAGAACTGGAATGAGGGTTGGGGAAGGAGGGCGGAAGGTGAGCAGAAGGTGGGGAAAAGGTGGGCGGAAGGTGGGCGGAAGGTGGGCGGAAGGTGGGCTGGTGTTGGTGTTGGTTGGCCAAGCCAAAGCACCACCGATGACAGCACACTGACGAGGACGAGGTGAGAGCAAGGCGCGGAGGAGAGGGCAGCGCGATCGTGACTGAGTGAGAGCTGCTCGTGAGGAACCTGACTTTTGAGTCGACTGAATCTAAGCAGAGGCAAGGCAAGTCTCCTCGTTGTGAGGCACTTGCCTCATTGGTTGTGATGATTCGAGTGAGCTGCTTCCCTTGCTTGTCGTACACAGCCATTGCTGCCACAGGGGAAGAAGGAGAGGGGGGAGAAGTGGGTGGGATGGTAAAGAAAGTGGTAAAATAGAATGGAGTGAGAAGAGAATTGGAGAGGGAAGGAGCAGCAGTTAGGGACAGAGACGAAGCAAATGCAAGGAAGGCCGCTTACCAATGTTGACAGTGTGAAGGACGTAGCCATTACCGACACAAAGAGCGACATCAGGAGGGGAAACACGGACCTGAAACGAAACAAAGGCATCGTTAGCGCAAAGAAGGCGCTGATAACCAGAAAAGGGGTGTTACCACTGTTAACCAAAAAAAAAAAAAAAAAAAAAAAAAAAAACCTTCATTTAGGCGGCGCACTGCTCAAATTATCTTACCACTGTATTGTTGTATTTAGGCGGTGTACCACTGTTCACTAGACTGTAATGGCTTATACCGGGAAACCCAACCGCCGGTTTCCGCTTCACCACTTGTTTCAGCTCCGTCATGCGCGCCGAAAATTCCCCCACCTCCGCCAATCGCTGCTCCTGTTTTGGAGAAAGCGGGAAGAAAGAAAACACGGAAAATTCCTCCAGTGCAAAAGGTGTTTGGCTTGATGATGAGCAAAGCCTAACACATGGCGCACGAGCCGCTCGTAGGAATCCTCTTCAACTGTTACTAACAGTGTAGCGGTTGACCGCTGTACAGTGGGTGTCGCACAAAGGCTTGTGCTGGGGGGAATTCCGCTGGGGGGAAATCCGCTGGGAAGATTCCCGCCAGGGGGAATTCCGCTGAGGGGAATTCCGCTGAGGGGGATTCCGCTGGGGGGAATTCCGCTCGGGGGAATTTACGCCGGGGGGGATTCCTGCGGGGAGAGGGCGCAACGGGCGCGGGGAGAGACCCGCACAGGCTCAGTCGAGAGCCTACCATCTGTTGCTCGAGCGGATCCACAACGGGAGCCGGCGCGCTAGCAGGCGCAGCGGCGGGCGCAGATGCAGCGGCGGCCGCCGCGGACTTTGCTGCTTTCGCCAAGGCCTCGCGCGTTTTCTCATCGAGTCCGCCGCCGCGAATCCGCGCTAGCAGCTCCTCCTTCTGCGACTCCGAGTCGCGCGGGTCATCCGCCGCATATGATGCGCGGGAACCGCCAGCGGTGCTGTGGTTTCCGCTGCTATCTCCGCCGCTGTTCCCGCCACCTCCGGCAGAGATTCCACCCGGTGGAGGGAACGGGACGTTTCCAGCGTCTTCAAACGGCGGAAGCTGCGCGGTTCCGGCGAACCAGAGGTTCTCCGCCAGCTTGAACACCTCCACGCGGTCGTTCGATCCGCGCATCGGCGCAATCACGACGCGCGTCGCCGCATTCACTTCCCGCGGCGAAGCTAGCAGCAGCGGCAGTAGAAGCGCGAGGAGATGTGCGGCGTGACGGTAGCAGCAGAGGCGCGGGGAGACATGCGGAGGAGCCATTGCGCCGGAAGCAGACTGCACCTTGGTGGCCTCCAATAGGGGAGCTCCAAATTAAACCGAATGGCATGTTCACTAAGGGCGTTACTCTAAATAGTTCGCAATCGTCAGAACCGGCCCAAAAAATCGACCATCGTTCTTCCACGTCAGTGCCCAGCGTCCGCCTCTTGGATCTCCACATTGTAAAAGGCGGCTGCGCACTTTGGAAAAGGGATCTTTGTCACAGCCAATGAGCGCAGCCGATCGTTTCCAGCCAACCAAAACCAACCTGAGGTGGGGGAAATATCAGAAGGGGATTATGCGAGCTGACTAGACTGCGCACTAGGGTGTGCGACCTTTGAGAGAATGACGAATCCGGTGCAACTGCGACACTCGCTTGTAGGCTGATCGCTTCAAATCCTATTGTATGGCTCAACTCCAACCCACTCCACTCCACCCCAAGAAAACCATCTCAAACTAGCCTCACCGTTATGTAATCCATTACCCATGCCCCCATGCGCCGCCGCCATGCGGCTCGACACTGAGACGGCGACGACCTGGGGTACTAACAGCAGTGTGCACATGCATTTCTTTAGATAGACTACACATTAGGGCGTGTAAAATTGTAACGACCAAACGCTATGGTCGATCATTTGGGCGTTTCTGGCGATTGCGAGGAATTAGGGTTACGCCGATTGGAGTAGTCACCCCGATATGACCGATTTGCACTGGTAATTTTTGAACAGAAATTTACGCACCGCATTTTGGGACTTGCCTAAACTAATGCTCAGCGGGGAGATATTTTTTCCGTTTACCTAAACCCACTGCTTTGGTAAACACTCTAGTGTAGGCTTCAGATCCCCCTATTCCACACCCCTTTCGAATGCAGTAAAGGGAATCAAATATTTTCCTTTTTAATTAAGGGGGTGGTTCGGGGTGGGTGCCCCAAATGCTGACGAATTTTGTGGCGGGGTTCGTTTGAGTGTTACACATTTCGCACTCGCCAGAAACGCCCAAATGATCGACCATAGCGTTTGGTCGTTACAATTTTACACGCCCTTAGCAACACTTCCATCCAACTACATAGAGACATCGGCAACAATAAACTTGCTTATAGCAATGTGATAGTAATCCATTGGCCAATTATAAGTAAAAACACGTCAACCATGTATATATTGTGCCATGCAGGAGTTTATTTGGAGAACATGCACTTCCATTTGGAGAAAGCATGTAGCATCTGGTGCTCAAAAATAATATTCTGATGCATTTTGACAAGAGAATCCACTGCATTCAAGCGAGTGCATGAAGCCAAGTAGTACCGGTAGCTGCAATCATTAGATGATTAACAATCATCAGTTCAAGGAGCATGTTGGAAGGGACTGCTAACATGATATGTGATGCGCTGGTATGCAGGAGTTACAGAGAGTTGGTCTGTGCTGCTGAGGTAGCAGCACATGACTGCTACGATGCTTTCCCCATGCTCTCACCCCCACAGCCACTACCACCATTGCTGTCCTTGCATCTACTGGTGTTATGGCCACCATAGCCAGTGCCACTCCTGCTACTGCTCCTGCGCCTACCGCTGGTGCTGTCTCCAATGCCCCTGCAGCTACCACTCCACTCCATACTTATGCACCTCCCCACTACCCCTTCCCCTGCTCCTCCTCCTCATACCACCTCCCTACTTCCACCTCCCACCCCCCCCATCCCACATGGCACCACAGTATCCCCACTGCCTGCACATCCTACTAAGGAGCATGCCAGAGAACCTTCTCCCACTCGCACCCTTCCTCCCATCATTGGCACCTCTGCCTTTACTACCGCCACCCCTGCTGCTATACCCGCCCTAAGTTCCCCTTCCCACCCTCATTATCCCTGCTGCTATACCCGCCCTAAGTTCCCCTTCCCACCCTCATTATCCCTGCTGCTATACCCCCACGAGCCCCGCCATCCCCTTCACTACCCCCTCTTCCCCCACGAGCCCACCCATCCCCATCACTACCATCACTGTTCACAACCTCCCCTATCTCCCTCCTCCCCATCATCCCCCTTCTCCTTCATTATTCCCTTCCCCACTGTTCTTTTAATTCTTCCCATTCTCCCCATTTCCCCCATCATCCCCATTCCCACTGTTATCCCCATCCCCCCCGTCTCCATTACCCCCATTCTCCCCATCCCCCCTGTTTCCCTCGTCCGCCCCCCCTTGCAGGTCGACTTTGAAGACGAAGGTAGCCCAGTTGCTCCACTCGGTGCGAGGCTGCCCCGCCACATACTGCACTGCCGCCCACGCGTTGCCCTCCTCGTCCACCGTCGCCGTCATGTAGTCGCCGTATCGCATCTCTGGTGCACCGAGGTAACCTGGGGGGGAGAGGGGGGGGGGGGGGGGGGAGAGAGAGATTCACAGGTGTTGAAACCCTAGATTGCTGCCACGTGTCGACGTGTCGAGGTGCGGCGGGGTGTGTGTGTGGGGGGGATGACGGGTGCGGATGGCCTGGGTCGACTTAAGAGGCGCTGTCGTGTAGTCGTAATGTGTTTGGAGGAGCGAGGGACGGGGATGGCCGCTGTTTTGATTCGTCAGGTGGTAAGCAAGCAACGAACCAGGCAGGAATCACAGGGCTCACCAGAGTAATCATCGAGAGGCCACGTGTAGAAAATGAAGTTTTGAGACGTCTCAAAACTCACCAGAGTAGTCGTCAGGTGGTAAGCAAGCAACGAACCAGGCAGGCATCTCACCGAGTAGTCGTCGAGAGGAGCCTTCCCCGCACCAACAACGTTGATGCGGCCGACATCCACATTGGCGTTGAGAGTGGCATAGGCAGCTGAGGGGTAGAAGGAACGCCCTGCCAGCGATGCTGCAATGATGCCCTTGTCGTGCCTGGGGAGGGGAGTGCGGGAATGGCAAGAGAGAAGGAAGGCGGGTTTGATGCTGCTATCATGCCCATGCCATGCCTGGGGAGGGGAGTGCGAGAGGATGGCCAAAGAACGAGCGTTGGTGGAAAGAAGATCAGGGTAAACCTGCTGTGAAGAATAAACTCAGGATCTACCATACTCCTCCCTCGTGATGCCATCAAATCCCTCTTTCCCCGTTGCCCCTCCACCCACCTTCCCCTCTCCCCCACCTGTTGAGAGCGATGGTCCCCTGAATGAGGCTGTTCCCTCCGCCCACTCCCACCACTTTGAACCGCTCCAGAAACACCCGAAGCGTGCGCCACTTGCGGTTGGGCCTCAGAGACAAGCGAAGCCTCGCCACCACGGCAGCAGCACTCATGTCCTTGCCAAACGCAGACATAAAGCTGATCCACATCTGCCTTTTCCCCGGATTCACCACCACGCCTCGCGCATCGATCTCGGAGGGGCCTATGGGCTTGATTGTGGTGTTCATCTGCCAAGCTGTGGGAACAGGCCCGGGTTTCTGGTCCACAGGCAGGGGAATGAAGAACGGGGGAGTGTTGACGGCACCGCAGTGTGGCTCAACCAAGCGCTCGGCTTCAGGGGTCCCCAGAGAACTTGTACCCGTTATAGCAAAGGCTCCAATTGTGGTATAGTTGGCGACAAGCACGGTTTCGTCGGGAAAACCAGGGAATCCAGTCCAGCCGAAATACATGGTGCCGCCGTGGTGGTAGTCGTAGTCCCCGTCTGCAGCAACCTTCTGAGGGTAGATTGTGTAGGCTGGACTGCTGAGGGCCGATGCTATGGGCACGGCGAAGCGAAGAACGGTTGTGTTCTCGGGGGTTTGAAGCTGGGTCTTGGAGATTGCACTGGGAGGAAGGGAGGGAGGTGAGGGAGAGAAGAAGGGAGGAGTGAGCAAGGATGGGAGGAAGAGGGTCAGGAGGAGTTTTGGGACTGATGAGAGGGGATGGGCAAGAGGTTGGAGATCGATGGGAGAGGAAGGGGACAGATTTTAGGGATCGATGGGAGAGGTTGCCACCAAAGCTGCAAGTCGTGGTTGCAAGTTGCAAGGATGGTAGTGTGAGCTTATGCATTCCCCACCCCAGACCTGCGAACTCCTCACTTCAACACGAAATTCTCAGAACTCACTATATGGACGACCCGAAACACGAGGACTCATCCTCTGAATACTGGTTGGCAGACACATACACTCCTGGAGGGGGGTGAATACGAGGGGGGGAAAGGGAGGAGATTGAGGAAGGGGAGAGAAACATGTGGAAGGAATAGGGGTCTGTCCCTCAAGGCGTCCCAGTCGTTTTTTGATACATACCATAGGCATCAGTGCCGATCTGAGGGTAGTCCACTGATGGGGGAGCGAAAGCAAACGGGAGAGAAGGGGAGAAGGGCCTTGCATGTGTGTAAACGCCTCTATCAATGAAAGGACCATGGGAGAAGGGCACTACGGAAGAGGGATGGTGGGGCAGGTGACAGTAAGAGGGGAAAACGAAAGGAGTGGGGGGGTCGGGACTTGCCGTCACCCGTACCATACCATCACCCACACCAGCACACTCGCCAACTCACATACCGTCACCCACACCATCACACGCAACCAAGCCAGTACACATGCCATGATTCAACATACAAAGAGTGGTGAGGCGAGACGTGTTGAAGTGGAGAGGCGCCCTCCAGTCCGGATTGGAGTTGATGCCATCGTTGCTGGGAGAGGGGAGGAGAGGGGTGGAGAGGAGAGTGGAGGAGGGGAGAAAGAGTGGAGGAGGGGAGAAAGTGTGGAGGAGGGGAGAGGGGGGAACAGAGGGAAGGAAAAGAAGGGAGTTGGAGAGTGAGAGAAGAGGGGAATTTGGGAAGCAAGGAGAGCAGGACAGAGGAGGGAATCCCAACAGTGTGGAGTGGGGCTGCTGTTGCAGGAAGTGGCATGTGGAGGGAAACAGATGAATGAAAGAAGTGGCGAGGAGAAGTGAGAAGATGAGAGAAAAAGGCTGAGAAGCAGTGAGAATCGGCAAGTCTAAAGACGCACAGTGAAAAAGGGTGAGAGAGGATGAGAAGAGGTGAGAAGAGGTGAGAGAAAAGGCTGAGAACAAAGAGGTGGCGAGCGTACGAGCCGGGGATGAAGAAGACGTTCCAGTCCTGGGTGGGGTCGTCCGTGGTTGACGCTGCCACTATCAGCCCTGAGCCAACTGTCACGTTGCCTCGCCTCCTCGTCTGCCCAAACTTGTCATACGTGTTGTTGAATCCCCCTGACTGCACGTTGGGAGGGATGGGAATGGGAATGGTGAGCAATGGGAATGGGAATGCGACAAGAGGAGGGAAATTAATGAAGAGAGCGAGATAGGAAAACAAAATGGAGGAGAGAACAAGTTGAGAGATAGAGGACCAGAACCATCACCAGCCACTCACAATCCAGTAGCTTGGCTCGGCGGCCACACGTGCATGCCATGTCTCCCAGGCCGTCCGGAGTAAACAACCAGCAGCACCCAGCAGCACCGCACTCTTCAACCGCGCCACCCACTCACAAACCACATGGCAGAGAGGTAGAGGCGGCTGGCCTTGCGGTCATACGTGCACAACCAGCAGCACCTAGCAGTACCCAGCAGCACCGCACACTCCACCCACCACTCACAAACCACATGGCGGAGAGGTAGAAGCGGTTGGCCTGGCGGTCATACGTGCATGTCATGTCGCCGATTTTGTCTCCCAGTATTGAGTCGCCGAATGTATCCCTCTTCTCCACCACCCTTGGCAGCACCCCGAAGAACTGGCATGAGGGATGGGGATGGCGGGGGGATGGTGGGCATGTGTGGATCTTTCTTCTCCACCACCCTTGACAGTACCCTGAAGAACTGGTATGAGGGTTGCGAAGGAGGAGATGAAGCAGGAGCACGATTGGGAAGCAGGACAGGGAGAGAGGACAAGGGCGGGCAGAAACCCCAGAATGGGATGGAGATCTCTCTGGACCACTTAGAAGAAAGGGGATTGGCCAGCAAATGTGTATCTGATATGACTGCTCTCGGCACTTGACTGAAGTCAGCACTTGCCTCGTTGTGTGGGATGATGCGAGTTAGCTGCTTCCCTTGCTTGTCATACACAACCATTGCTGTGGGAGAAGCGGAGGGGATGAGAGGAGTGTATCATGGGGAGGTAGAGAGAGTTGGTGGGGAGGAGAAAGTGTTAAAAATGGAATGGAGTGAGAAGAGGGGAGGAGAATCAGTTAGTGACAGAGGAAGCAATGTGCGAAGGACGCTTTTTGAGGCGCCTAAAAAAATCGAAACAGGTGCGAAGGAAATATTTTTTACCTGTGTTGACAAGATGAAGGATGTAACCGTTACCGACACAAAGAGCGACGTCAGGAGGGGTTACACGGACCTGAAACGCAACAAGGAACGACATCATTGATGCACGGAAGTTGCTGATTGAAAGGACAAATAAACTGTAATTGTATTAACGAAATGACTGATTAACAGGCAAAACTTACCACTGTATTGTTGTACTTAGGCGGTGTACCGCTGTTAACCTCGTCGTACTGGCTTATACCGGGAAATCCAACCGCCGGTTTCCGCTTCACCACTTGTTTCAGCTCCGTCATGCGCGCCGAGAATTCCCCCACCTCCGCCAATCGCTGCTCCTGTTTTGGGAAAAGGGCGGAATTTAAAACTTTTCAAAATGCCGCGCTTTGCGGGAAGCATTGGTATCCACAAGCACAACGCCACCATTTTGCACCGCAACCAGCTAGAAAAAAATCGCCAAGAAGAGTCGACTCATATAGGGCTCTAAGAGAATATTATTGTCTGAAAACGCACCTGAACTTATTATCCAGAGCCCGTGAAGTATAATTCGTTACTATGACTTTGCACCTGAAGGCCAAGCCTACCATGGGATCCACAGCGGGCGCGGGTGCGCTAGCGGTGGCATCTTGCAGCTTCCGCTCGCTCCGATTCTCGTTGTTGCCCCCACCTTCGCCGTCGCTGCCGTTCTGGCTCGCCGCGCCTTCAAACGGCGGCAGCTGCGCGGCTCCGGCGAACCAGAGGTTCTCCGCCAGCTTGAACACCTCCACGCGGTCGTTCGATCCGCGCATCGGCGCAATCACGACGCGCGACGCCGCATTCGTTCTCCCCGGCGGAGCTAGCAGCAGTAGAGTCGCGAGCAGCAGTGCGGCATGACGGTAGCCGCAGCTGAGGCGCGGGGAGGCATGCGAAGGAGCCATTGCGCTTGAAGCAGACTGCACCGTGGTAGCCTCCAATAAGAGAGCTGGAGCATCGACTTGCTCCAACTTGATTGAAAAAAACCGAATGGCATGGTCACTAAGGGCGTTACTCTAAATACTTCGCAATCGTCAACAGCCCCAAAAATCGACCATTTCGTTTGGTCGTTCCCGTCTTCCACGCCAGTGCCTGCGTCCGCCTCTTGGATCTCCGCAACTGGAAAAGCGGCTGCGCGCTACAGTTTGGAAAAGGCGGCATTCTGATGATCCATTTCTCTGGCGAAATCCTTCGTGCCAGAACAGGTGCCCCATCTTGCACTGAATTTGTCGCAGCTAATGTGCGCAGCCGATCGTTTCCAGCCAACCAAAACCAACCTGAGGTGGGACAACTATCAGAAGGGGATTTTGCGAGCTGACTAGACTGGGTTGTCCTGCACACTAGGGTGCGTGCGACGTTTGAGAACGACGAATCTGGTGCAACTGCGACACGCGCTTGTAGGCGCCTCAAATCCTAATGCGTGGCCCAACTCCACCCCAAGAAACCCATCTCAAACCAGGCTCACCGTTATGTCTCCATTACCATTAGCCGTATTGGGAACGTGAAAATCACAGCAGCCACCATCAAGCGCTCGGTCGGGGACTCGGGGCCTCTTATCCTCATCATCAAACCCGTGGTCGGGTTGGGTTGGGTGGGGGAGGGGCTCCTCTTGCCGCTATGCGCCGCCGCCATGCGGCTCGACACTGAGACATGAGGAAGGCGGAAGCATGGGGCCCTCGCAACAGTACACGCATTTCTTTAGATAGACTACACGTTAGCAAAGTTCCTACACAAAAAGACATAGGCAACATACATGACAACATACATTTGGAATATGATTAGTAACCCATTGGCTAATTAGAATTAAAGCACATGTACTAAACATTTTTTCTGCTGTTCTAGAGCTTGATTTGGAGCACATGTGCTTCTATCTGGAGCAAGCATGTATCTGGTGCTCAATAATAAAATAAAGGCGCATTTTGACAAGAGAATCCACCGCATTCAAGAGAGTGCATGAAGTCAAGTAGCTGCAATCACTACATGATTAACTCACTTGAAGGTCAGGAGTTCGAATTTCATAAGCTCAAGGAGCATGTGCGAATGCTAACAAGGTAGGTGATGCGTTGATATGCAGGAGCTGCCCATAGAAAGTCCGTGCTGCTGAGGTAGCAGCACATTAATGCTACTATGCCTTCCCCATGCTCTCACCCACCACCACTAACACCACCACTGCCATCCTTGAATTTTTTGGTGTCATAGCCACCATTGCCACTGCCACTCCTGCTATTGCTACTGCTACTGCTCCTGCTCCTGCTCTGGTACTGTCTCCATTGCTTCTGCAGCTTCCACTCCATCCTTATCCACCTCCCCCTACCCCTTACTGCCGCCACCCCTGGTGCTATACCCGCCCTAAGTCACCCTCTTCCCACCTTGCTTATCCTTGCTGTTATAGCCCGCTCCTCATTCCCCACCCACGAGCCCGCCCATTGTCCCCCACCCACGAGCCTGACCATCCCTATCACTCTCATCACGTGAAAGAAGAGTGTCTTTCAGACGTCTCGAAAACCCACCTTGCTTATCCCCTGCTGCTATAGCCTGCCCCTCGCCCCCCACCCACGAGCCCCACCATCCCCATCACTATCATCATTATTCCCCTATCTCCCCCTATCTCCCCCTATCTCCCCCCTCCCCAACATCCCCTACTCCTTCATTATTCCCTTTCCCACTGTTCATCTAATTCTTCCCATTCTCCCCATTCCCACCGTCCCCCCCATTCCCCCCGTCCCCCGCATCCCCCCCGTTATCTCCATCCCCCCCATTATCCCCGTTTCCCTCATTCCCCCCGTTCCCATCCCCCCCATTCTCCCCGTCCGCCCCCTCCTGCAGGTCAACTTTGAAGACGAAGGTAGCCCAGTTGCTCCACTCGGTGCGCGGCTGCCCCGCCACATACTGCACTGCCGCCCACGCGTTGCCCTCCTCGTCGATCGTCGCCGTCATGTAGTCGCCGTAGCTCATGCTGTCATAGATGTACCCTGATGGGGGTTGGCAAGGGGGGAGAGTGGTGGGGGGTGGCAAGGGGGGAGAGGGAGAGAGAGAGATGGGTGGGGGTGAATCTGGATGAGCAAGGCCTTATACTCGCGACTCAACTCAACAGTCGCTGACATGTAGTCGCCGTAGCTCATGCTGTCATAGATGTACCCTGATGGGGGTTGGCAAGGGGGGAGAGTGGTGGGGGGTGGCAAGGGGGGAGAGGGAGAGAGAGAGATGGGTGGGGGTGAATCTGGATGAGCGAGGCCTTATACTCGCGACTCAACTCAACAGTCGCTGACATGTAGTCGCCGTAGCTCATGCTGTCATAGATGTACCCTGGTGGGGGTTGGCAAGGGGGGAGAGTGGTGGGGGTTGGCAAGGGGGGAGGGAGAGAGAGATGGGTGGGTGTGTGTCTGGATGAGCGAGGCCTTATACTCGCGACTCAACAGTCGCCGTCAAGTAGTCGCCGCAGCTCATGCTGTCATAGATGTACCCTGGTGGGGGTTGGCAAAAGGGGGGGACAAGGATGGCCTTAGATTCAACCCAAGAGTCACCGGCATGGAAAGAAATGGAAAGTGAGCATCACCAAGAAAGAAAGAAAATCTCCGTAACAGTCGACGCAAGCAAGCAAGAGTAGTTGCCCAAAAAAAAAAAAAAAAAAAAAAACACACACACACACACACACACACACACACACACACACACACAAACCAAAACGTTCTGGACTGGGTGTATCTGAGTCAGTTTCAAGAGAGTAACCAGTTGCATCTCTTCTCAAACGTGACTCAGATAGAGCGCTTCCGATGACCAGCTGGCCATCAACCAGCCCAACAATTTCCTGGATGGGCAGGAAAACTGCTCCACTCAGCAGAGCAGTGTGTGAGAGCAAGCTCACCAGAGCAGTCATCATGGGGAGCATTTCGTGGGCCATTAGCAATTAGTGTAAACGCAAAAAAACCAACAAATATGCGGAACAGAGTAATGGCAGCAGCAGCGAGCTCACCCATGTAGTCATCAAGAGGGGCTTTCCTTGGGCCAGGTGCAGCGGCAAGAAGCGGAGCAAGCATCAGAGGAGCAAGCATCAGAGGAGCAAGCATCAGAGGAGCAAGCATCAGAGGAGCAAGCATCAGAGGAGCAAGCATCAGAGGAGCAAGCATCAGAGGAGCAAGCATCAGCGGAGCAAGCATCAGCGGAGCAAGCATCAGAGGAGCAAGCATCAGAGGAGCAAGCATCAGAGGAGCAAGCATCAGAGGAGCAAGCATCAGAGGAGCAAGCATCAGCGGAGCAAGCATCAGCGGAGCAAGCATCAGCGGAGCAAGCATCAGCGGAGCAAGCATCAGAGGAGCAAGCATCAGAGGAGCAAGCATCAGAGGAGCAAGCATCAGAGGAGCAAGCATCAGCGGAGCAAGCATCAGCGGAGCAAGCATCAGAGGAGCAAGCATCAGAGGAGCAAGCATCAGAGGAGCAAGCATCAGAGGAGCAAGCATCAGAGGAGCAAGCATCAGCGGAGCAAGCATCAGCGGAGCAAGCATCAGCGGAGCAAGCATCAGCGGAGCAAGCATCAGAGGAGCAAGCATCAGAGGAGCAAGCATCAGAGGAGCAAGCATCAGAGGAGCAAGCATCAGAGGAGCAAGCATCAGCGGAGCAAGCATCAGCGGAGCAAGCATCAGAGGAGCAAGCATCAGAGGAGCAAGCATCAGAGGAGCAAGCATCAGAGGAGCAAGCATCAGCGGAGCAAGCATCAGAGGAGCAAGCATCAGAGGAGCAAGCATCAGAGGAGAAAGCATCAGCAGAGCACGCACCCGTGTAGTCATCAAGAGGGGCTTTCCCCGGGCCGGTGACGATGACGCGGCCGACATCCACATTGGCGTTGAGAGTGGCATAGGCAGCTGAGGGGTAGAAGGAACGCCCTGCTAGTGACACTGCCATTATGCCCTTGCCGTGCCTGGGGAGGGGAGTGCGGGTAAGAAAAGAAGGCGGAAAAGGCCGCGGAAGGGGATGCGATGTTGCTATGTGAGAGCATTTCATGAGTGCGTCTCGTGAGTGCTTTCTTTAAAATAAATTGCACTCACATCTTTCACACGACTTCTAGTCATTCCTTCAACCTACTTCTTCTCATCCACCCTCCCTCCCCTTGGCCCTCCACTCCCCTCCCTCCCACCTGTTGAGAGCGATCGACGGCTGTATGAGGCTGTTCCCTCCGCCCACTCCCACCACTTTAAACCGCTCCAGAAACACCCGGAGCGTGCGCCACTTGCGGTTGGGCCTCAGAGACAAGCGAAGCCTCGCCACCACGGCAGAAACACTCATGTCGTTGCCAAAGCCAGACATGAACGTCACCCACATGTGCCTGCTCTCTGGGAAGACCACCACGCCTCTTGCATTTGAGAAAGTAGGGGAGATGGGCTTGATCGTGGTGTTCAGTCTCCAAGCTGTGGGAACAGGCCCGGGTTTCTGCTTCACAGGCTGCGGCTCGAAGAATGGCGGAGTGTTGACGGCAGCACAGTGTGGCTCCACCCGACTCTCCGCTTCCGGTGTCCCCAGAGCACTTGTACCCGTTATAGCAAAGGCTCCAATCGTGGTATAGTTACCGACAAGCACGGTCTCGTTGGGAGCGCCGGGGTTGGAGTTGACTGCTGTCCAGCCGAAATACACGGTGCCATCGTGGTGGTAGTCGTATTCCCCATCAGCAGCGACCTTCTGAGGCCAGATGGAGAAGGATGGGCTGATGGGGCTGTCTGTATAAGGAACGACGAAGCGGAGAATGGTGGTGTTTTCGGGATTCTGGAGCTACGACTTGGCGATTGCACTGGGAGGAAAGGTGGTACGGGGGAGGGAAGGCGCAGGAGGGGGGGAGTTTTGAGTTTGTCACTAGGGCTTACACATGTGCAAGTGCATGCACGTGTCAACCATGGCTGATTGGAACTCAAATTGAGCGTGTTGGGTGGGAGTGTTTTGAGCATAAGCATAAGCCATGGCGAGGAAATGGTCCAGGGCCAACAACGCATGACTCAAAGGCCAACAATGCATGACTCAAAGGCCAACAACGCATGACTCAAAGGCCAACAACGCATGACTCGAAGGCCAACAACGCATGACTCAAAGGCCAACAACGCATGACTCAAAAGCCAACAACGCATGCCTCGCCCTCAAATACCTGTTGTGTTTGAGGTGCGCTCAAGAGAAAACTCTTGAGGCGCCCCTAAGGTGCGCCCAGAGAAGAAGCGCTCTCTTCATTATATGCAACAATTGTCGGCCTGGGTTGGCGCCTCACAAAAGCCGGAGCACTCACTATATGGAAGAACCAAAGTAGTCGTTAGTTTCGAATACGAATTGGTTTGCTGAAACGAAGAGCCCTGGTGAGTGGGAAAAGGGGGTGCAGGCAGGGAAAGAGCCATGCACTTGTTTTTTTTTTATATATTTTTCTTTTGGTGGATGAGGTACACTATTACATGCAAGACAACTTCAGCCGTTACTGGCATGCGCAGATTGTGACGAGCCCCGTGGGCTCTTACGAAGAGAGGGGAGGCATGTTCCAACTTTTGAGTACGGTGCCAACTTTGGTTTAAAGGCGCCTCGGAACTGTTCCTTGAGCACGGTGCCAACTTTTGAGTCGACTCAAAAGCAGAAATTATTTCTGACACATTACATTACCATAGGCGTCGGTCTATGGCATAGGCACGAGAGGACATTGGTGCATGGCATAGGCACGAGAGGACATTGGTGCATGGCATAGGCATGAGAGGACATTGGTGCATGGCATAGGCATGAGAGGACATTGGTGCATGGCATAGGCATGAGAGGACATTGGTGCATGGCATAGGCATGAGAGGACATTGGTGCATGGCATAGGCATGAGAGGACATTGGTGCATGGCATAGGCATGAGAGGACATTGGTGCATGGCATAGGCATGAGAGGACATTGGTGCATGGCATAGGCATGAGAGGACATTGGTGCATGGCATAGGCATGAGAGGACATTGGTGCATGGCATAGGCATGAGTGCACATACCATAGGCATCGGTGCCGACCTGAGGGTAGTCCACTGATGGGGGAGGGAAAAGTACGCGGGGGGGTAAGGGTAGGGTCAGATGAGAGAGGGAGGCCTTTTAGATATATTCTAGTGGGCGACATAAGTGGGGCGACAATAGAAGCCGGCAAGTGACGGGGTTTGGACGAGGCCAGGCAAGCGGTTAATTGCATGGACGAAGCAAGGCAATCATCATTTCATTACAGCCATCACCCGCAGCATATTCGTAAGCGCCAGCATGCAGCCATCACCCGCACCACCTGCACCACCTGCACCACCCGCACCACCCGCACCACCCGCACCACCCGCACTATCATCCATCATTCAACCCACAAAGAGTGGTGAGTCGAGACGTGTTGAAGTGGAGAGGCGCCCTCCAGTCCGGATTGGAGTTGATGCCGTCGTTGCTGGGAGGAGGGGGGGGGTTGAGGGAGGAAGCAGAGGGGGTTTGAGGGGAAAGGACGGAGGCGGACAGTGCGCCTTTATTCCTGGGAGTGGAGAGGCGCCCTCCAGTCCGGATTGGAGTTGATGCCATCGTTGCTGAGAGGGGGGGGGGGGGTTGAGGGAGGAAGCAGTGGGAAGGAGAGGGAGAAAGCAGTGGGAAGGGTGAGAAAAGGGTGAGAAAATGTGGGAAACCGTGACGAACAGCGAGAACAAAAAGCACGTTGCAAAAGGGTGAAAAAGAAGGCGAGGAATGTGAGAAAGCGTGAGGATGCGGAGAGAGAGAGCGTACGAGCCTGGGATGAAGAAGAGGTTCCAGGGCTGAGTGGGGTCGTCCGTGGTTGACAAAGTGTAAGAGATGGAGGAACAAAGTCAGAAAGTGTGAGCAAAAAGGGGGCGAGCGTACGAGCCGGGAATGAAGAAGACGTTCCAGTCCTGGGTGGGGTCGTCCGTGGTTGACGCTGCCACTATCAGCCCTGAGCCCACTGTTGTGTTGCCTCGCCTCCTCGTCTGCCCAAACTTGTCATACGTGTTGTTGAATCCCCCTGACTGGGAATGGGAAGGAGGGCCATGGAGTGAGTGAGATGAGCTAGCGTGTGATGAGAGGAAGTTCAATGAGGGAGAAAGGAAGAGGGAGGGAAAGAGGGAGCACCTGAGGAAGGGAGGAACTGAGAAGGGGAGGGAGGAATTGCGAGAGAGAAATTCTTGGTGAAAAACTGGCTCCAAGCAACAACTAAAAGAACCGAGGAGTAACGATACCCAAGACCTGTGCAACCAGCAGCACCCAGCAGCACCCAGCAGCACCGCACAGTCCAGCCCCAATCACAATCCACATGGCAGAGGTAGTAGAAGCGCTTGGCTCGGCGGCCACACGTGCATGCCATGTCTCCCAGGCCGTCCCGGAGTAAACAACCAGCAGCACCCAGCAGCACCCAGCAGCACCGCACTCTTCAACCCCGCCACCCACTCACAAACCACATGGCGGAGAGGTAAAAGCGGTTGGCCTGGCGGTCGTACGTGCATGACATATCCCCCACTTTGTCTCCCAAAATTGACGTGTTGTATGGCTCCCTCCGCTCCACCACCAGTGGCAGTAGCCCGAAGAACTGGAAGGGTGGATTGGGGAAGGAGGGGTGGATAAGGGAGGAGATGATATACAGGAGAGTTTTTATTATTTGACTGAAAAGTTGCTGCCTTCGCTCCACCACCAGTGGCAGCAGACGAAGGAACTGGATTTACGGCTTGGGGACGGAAGGGGTGGATGGTGGAATGGTGCTGGTTTGCAAGCGGACCAGAGATAGGAGTATAAGTGATGAGCTGAGATGAATAAGAAAGGGAGAGAGGATAAAGTGAGAGGGGGCAAAGAAGAGAGGGGAATCGGGAGAGAAGGAGTGGAAGAGAGAGGAGTGGGAGAGTGGGGAGTGGAAGAAAGAAGAGTGGGAGAGAGAGGAGGAGTGAGAGAGAGGGGAGTGGGATAGAGAGGAGTGGGAGAGTGGAGTGGGAGAGAGAGGAGTGGGAGAGTGAGGAGTGGAAGACTGGGGAGTGGGAGAGTGGGGAGTGGGAGAGAGAGGAGGAGAGGGAGAGTGAGGAGTGGGAGAGAGAGGAGAGGGAGAGTGGGGAGTGGGAGAGTGAGGAGTGGGAGAGAGAGGAAGAGCCACGAAGCTTAGTGGGTCCTCTGGGCTGGTGAGTGGATGTGGGTCCTCTGGACCGTGCATATGTGTAGTGTATTGCTGCACGGGGTGTTGCATGGCGTATGGGCAAGTGTCAGTGGTCATTCAAGCCTCGGGTGCGAGCGATAATCCTTCCCTGCGCATTTGCCTCGTTGTGTGTGATGATGCGAGTGAGCTGCTTCCCTTGCTTGTCATACACAACCATCGCTGCCAGCAGGGGAGGGAGGAGGAGGATTGGTAGGTATGCAGGGAAGGAGAAAATGATTTTGAAGGAGCATGAGTGAATAACTGGAAGGAGGAGGTTGGGGAAGAGGGAGCTTGGAAGGAAGGAATGAGAAGAGGGAACGAGCAGCAATCAGTGTGAGGGAAAGCAAGTGCAACTGACGCTTACCACCGTTGACAGTGTGAAGGACGTAGCTGTTACCCACACACAGAGCGGCATCAGGAGGGGTAATACGGACCTGAAACGTAACAAAAAAAACCAACATCATCAGTGCAAGGAAGGGGCCGCAAGGCAGATAAATGATGGTGTGTTAATGCATATACATAAGCTGCACAGTAAAAAACAAAAACAAAAACAAAAACAAAACAAACAAAGAAACAAACTTACCACTGAATTGTTGTATTTAGGCGGTGTACCGCTGTTAACCACGTCGTACTGGCTTATACCGGGAAACCCAACCACCGGTTTCCGCTTCACGACTTGATTCAGCTCCGTCATGCGCGCGGAGAATTCCCCCACCTCCGTCAATCGCTGCTCCTGTTCATGGGAAGAACGAAACGGAACATTGGGATTGCCGCATTTCGCGACAAGCGCTCACGTCCAGACATTTCCAAAATTTGACCACCTGATGGCTGAACCTTGAAGCCTGCGGCTCAAATTGTTCAACCTTACGAAGGTTGACCTCTGGGTTGTAAACGCCCAGGCAATAGTAGAGACAACCCAACAATCACTTTGTGTTGCGCCTACCATGGGATCCACAGCGGGCGCGGGCGCGCTTGCAGCAGCATCTTGCAACTTCCGCTCGCTCCGATTGTCCCGGCTGTCCCCGTTGTTGACGTTGCTCGCCGGGCCTTCAGGCGCCAGCTGCAGCTACGCGGTTCCGGCGAACCAGAGGTTCTCCGACAGCTTGAACACCTCCATGCGGTCGTTCGATCCGCGCATCGGCGCAATCACGACGCGCGACGCCGCATTCGCTCCCCGCGGCGGAACTAGCAACGGCAGTAGAAGCGCGAGCAGCAGTGCGGCGTGACGGTAGCAGAGGGGCGGGGAGGCATGCGGCGGAGGAGCCATTGCGCCGTAAGAAGACTGAACCTTGATGGCCTCCAACTTGGAGAATCGACTGTTGTTCAATAGGGGAGCTGGAGCATCGACTATGAATAGGGGAGCTAGAGCATCGTCTATTGGATAGGGAGCTGGAGCATCGACCATGTACAAACAGTGAACGCGACTCGGCTATTTCACCCCGTGAAATTACCGGAGGACAGGTGTAGCTCTAATAATAAAGTGCCTGCGTCCGCCTCTTGGAACAATGTATTGCTGCGCTGCGCACTACAGGTTGGAAAAGGCGGCATTCTGATTCCGGTGACGATCCATTCCTTGGGTAAATCCTCCATGGCAGAACATGTTCCTCATCTTTGCACCGAATTTGTCGCAGCCAATGTGCGCAGCCCATCGGGGTTTCCAGCCAACCAAAATCAACCTGAAGTGAGACGGCTATCAGTAGAGGATTTTGCGAGCTGACTAGACTGAGCTGTGCTGTCGTGCGCACTAGGGTGCGACGTTCGAGAACGACGAATCCAGTGCATGTGCGACCTCACAGGCTGATCGCTTCAGATTCTATGCTGTGGTTCAACTCCAACCCATTCCCCTTCACCGCAACAAACCCATCTCAGACCAGCCTCACCGTTATTTCTCCTTCACACACAGCTTGTCCGGACGTAAAATTCACAGCAGTTACGAACGATCAGCCAAAGCGACTTTACTTCCTTCAGTCAAGCGCTCCGAAGCTTATCATCCTGTGCACCATTCACTTCCGCCTGATTTTCAGCCACTCGAGCTAATGGTACGGTACACACCCTTTCCCCTGGCTTGCGATGTTGAATGGTCCCACTAGGGCAGCGCCAAACCTGGCATGTTCTGTATTCCCATTGTTTGTACACCAGGCAATTCCATTTGTTTTGTTCCCCCCCGTCTTTTTCCGTGGTGGCTAAGCTTTCTATAAATGAATGTTCAAACCGCGGCACGGCCGCACCTATGAGCTGGAAAATTTTCTCCGCACAACATGGGCATGGGCAAGCCCTTGGTTGGGTGGGTGGGGGGGCTCCTTGGGCCGCCATGCGGCTCGACATGGTGGCATGGGGAAGGCGACGATTTGGGGTTTCTCGCAACAGCGCGCCCATGCATTTCTTTAGATAGACTACACGACGTCATACTTACAAGATAGCGAAAGACATCAGCAACATTAGCCAATTGAAGTTAGCACGTATTCGGAAAAAATATTGTGCCACTCTAAATCTTGTTTGAAGCGCATGCATTTCTAGCCGTAGCATTTCTCAGGGGGCTCAATAATAAACAGCTGATTCATTTATACAAGAAAATTCACTGCAGGCAATCTAGTGCGTAAAGCTACGTAGTGGTAGCTGTAATCGCTATATAAATAACGCTCATAAGTTCGAGAAGCATGTGGGGATGCTACTAACGTTATAGGTGATGCGTCAATATGCAGGAGCTGCAGAGACAGTCTGTGCTGCTGAGGTAGCAGCCCATGACTGCTCTGATGCCTTCCCCATGCTCTCACCCATCCCCATCACTTCCATCACTGCTCACCCCATCCCATCATCCCCAGTCTCCTTCATTATTCCTCTACCTCTTCCCGTTCTCCCCATCCCCCCCATCCCCCCCATTATCCCCATTCCCCCCATTATCCCCGTCCCCGTTCCCCCCGTCCGTCCCCCCTTGCAGGTCGACTTTGAAGACGAAGGTAGCCCAGTTGCTCCACTCGGTGCGCGGCTGCCCCGCCACATACTGCACCGCCGCACACGCGTTGCCCTCCTCGTCCACCGTCGCTGTCATGTAGTCGCCGTATCGCATCCTTCCAGTCTCGTATGCTGGAAAGGGGGAGGAGGGTGGGGGAGACAAGAAGTGCCTTAGATTCGACTCAAGCGTAGCCGACGTGTAGTCGCTGTCATGTACTCGCCGTACCACATCCCCTCAGTCAAGTACCCTGAAAGGAGGAGAGAGAGACTGGGGTGGGGGTATGCACGCGAGGAGAGATTGACAAGGATGGCCTTAGATTCGACTCAAGCGTAGCTGACGTGCAGTCGCCGCATCTCATCCCCTCAGTCAAGTATCCTGGAAGGGGGGGAGACGGGTGGGGGTTTGCAGGAAACGAGGGGCGAAAAAGAGGGGCGGGGGTTGACAGGAGGGGAGAGGGTTAGGGGTGGGCAAGGGGGGGAAGGGTTAGTTTGTCTTGCCACATGATTGTCAAACCATTCGCCATTCCCTTGCTGTAAGCCCATTCCCTTGCTGTAAAATCGTTGGTAATCCCTGTCAGGGAGCAAAGTTGAGATTGAGCCACCAGGAAAGAGACAATTACTACCAGTAGTAACTAGAGCAGTGTTTGGGAGGGAATCACCAGGGCAGGCGTGATGACGAGGCTTAGCATGCCATGCCAAGCAGGGCCAGCAGAATCTCGTTTCAGACGCTAAGATGCCGAGCAGCGGAGCAATGAGCAGCAGAGAAACAAGCGGCATTATGGCGACTCACCAGTGTAGTCGTCGAGAGGCGCTTTCCCCGGGCCAACAATGTTGATGCGGCCGACATCCACATTGGCGTTGAGAGTGGCATAGGCAGCTGAGGGGTAGAAGGAACGCCCTGCTAGTGACGCTGCTATGATGCCCTTGCCTTGGCTGCGGAGGGCAAAGTGAGAGAGGGAAAGACAGGTGAGTGAAGGGAAGGAGATGGGGGGTAATGTGATGGCCTTACCATGCGTGGATAGGGGCGTGAGTGGATGGCGGGAGGGCGAGTGTGTTGGTGGAAATGAAGATGGGCAAAATGCTGCTGAGAGTATCTTGCTGTGAGGAAAAGGGTGCACTTGAGCAGAATAAAGCGTGCCGCATGTCAAGTGCTCGTGCATATCATCCTGTCGAGGGGGAAAAGCATGAAGAATCAACCTAAAAGAGTAAATTCTCCTCTCCCATTGCCATCAAATTCCCTCTTTTAACCCTTGCACTTCCACCCCCACACCCTCCCCCTTTTGCCGTCCACCCCCTCCTCCCCTCTCTCCCACCTGTTCAGAGCGATGGTCGGTAGAATGAGGCTGTTCCCTCCGCCCACCCCCACCTCTTTGAACCGCTCCAAAAACACCCGAAACGGCCTCCACTTGCGCTTGAGCCTCAGAGACAAGCGAAGCCTCGCCACCACAGCAGAGGCACTCAAGTCATAGCCGAAGGCCGACGAAAAGCTCACCCACATGTGCCTCCTCTCCGGAAAGACCACAACTCCTTGGACGTTGGGAAATGAAGCGCTGATGGGAGAGTTGCTGGTGTTGAATCTCCACGCAGTTGGTACGGGTCCATTCTTTTGCTGAACATCATTTTGTAATACGAGGGAGTGTTGACGGAAGCGCAGTGTGGCTCCACCAACCTCTCGGCTTCCGGGGTTCCCAGAGCACTTGTACCCGTTATAGCAAAGGCCCCGATTGTGGTATAGGTGTATATGAGACCCGCTTCCAGTAGGGAAGGCGGAATTGGGTTGACCCCAGCCCAGCCGAAGTACATGGTGCCGCCGTGGCGATAGTCGTAGTCCCCATCAGCAGCAACCTTCTGAGGGTAGATTGTGTAGGCTGGATTGCTGAGGGCAGATGGTTGGGGCACGGCGAAGCGAAGAATGGTTGTGTTCTCGGGGGTTTGAAGCTGGGCCTTGGAGATTGCACTGGTAGAGGGGGGGGGTGGGGGGGAGAAGAAGGGAGGAGTGAGCAAGGATGGGAGGAAGAGGGTGAGGAGGAGTTAAGAGATTCATGAGAAAGGTGATGGGTGAGATGTTAGAGATTGGTGGGAGAGGAAGGGGAGGGAGTTCAGAGATTGATGGGAGAGGATGGCACCAGAGCTGCAAGTCGTGGTTGCAAGGATGCAAAGTTATGAGCTCATGCATTCCCCAGACCTGTGAATGCATTTCCTTTGGAACCATGACTCGTTAACACTAACTTCTCTCAACTCACTATATGGAGGACCCGAAACACGAGAACATGTCCTCTGTAAATTGGTTGGCTGACACATAAACTCCTGGTGAGGGGTGAGTAAGAAAGAGGGGGGGGGGGGGAGGGAATTGAGGAAGGGGCAAGAAACGGGGGGGGAGAGGAGGTGGGGGGCGGCCAAGAAACAACAGGGGTCTCAAGGCGTCCCAGTCGTTTTTTGAGATGCCTCAAGCATTAAACTGGCACATGGCATGGGCATGAGTGCACGTGGCATGGGCATGAGTGCACATGGCATGGGCATGAGTGCACGTGGCATGGGCATGAGTGCACATGGCATGGGCATGAGTGCACATGGCATGGGCATGAGTGCACATGGCATGGGCATGAGTGCACATGGCATGGGCATGCACGACATAGGCATGAACGCACAAACATAGGCATGAGTGCACATACCATAGGCATCAGTGCCGACTTGAGGATAGTCCACTGAAACCACCAAGTAAAGAGAAAGAGGGACAAGTGATAAGAGACGACAAGGGAAAGAGGCAAGTTGGATAAGAGAGGAGAATTCCATTTGAGCAACAGCGCAATCACCCCACCTTCACCTCACAATCAAACCCCCTTCACCCCCCAATCACCCCACCTTCACCCACCCGCAATCACCCCTCCCAACCCACAGAGAGTGGTGAGCCGATTTGTCTGGTAGTGAAGGGGGGCCCTCCAGTCGGGATTCGAGGTGATTCCGTCATTGCTGGGGGAGGAGGGAGGGGGGGTGAGGACGGAGGGAGGGAGTGAGGACGGAGGGGGTGAGGATGGAGGGAGGGAGTGAGGACGGAGGGGGTGAGGATGGAGGGAGTGAGGATGGAGGGGGTGAGGATGGAGGGAGTGAGGATGGAGGGAGTGAGGATGGAGGGAGTGAGGATGGAGGGAGTGAGGATGGAGGGAGTGAGGATGGAGGGAGTGAGGGAGTGAGGATGGAGGGAGTGAGGATGGAGGGAGTGAGGAAGGAGGGAGTGAGGACGGAGGGGGTGAGGATGGAGGGAGTGAGGATGGAGGGAGTGAGGATGGAGGGAGTGAGGATGGAGGGAGTGAGGATGGAGGGAGTGAGGATGGAGGGAGTGAGGATGGAGGGAGTGAGGATGGAGGGAGTGAGGATGGAGGGAGTGAGGATGGAGGGGGTGAGGATGGAGGGAGTGAGGATGGAGGGGGTGAGGATGGAGGGGGTGAGGATGGAGGGAGTGAGGATGGAGGGGGTGAGGATGGAGGGAGTGAGGATGGAGGGGGTGAGGATGGAGGGAGGGGAAATGTCGGGGGGAGAGAGGTGGGATGCTCTTGAGCCGACTCAAAAGAAGAGGCGCCCTCCAGTAGGGATTCGAGTTGATTCCAACGTTGATGGGGGAGGAGGGAGGGGGATTCGGATGATGGGAGGGAGGATGTTTGGCAGGGGAGCGAGGTGGGATGCTGGGAAGGGGAGGGCAAAGACAAGGGGTCCAATCAGTCTGGAATCTAAGACGTTGCTGGTGGAAAGAGAAAGAGGAACGGTGATCAGGGTGAGAAAGGGTGTTTAGGTGAGAACGAGGAGGAAGCAAAGAGTTGAGAAAGCGTGAGAAGCAGTGAATACAATGAGGTGAGTGAGAACGAGGAGGCGAGCGTACGAGCCGGGAATGAAAGAAGACGGACGTTTTAGGAACGGTGAGACAGAAAGGCACGAAGGACAAGGGTGAGAAAAGGTGAGGAATGTGAGAAAGCGTGAGCAAAAGGAGGAGCGCATACGAGCCGGGGATGAAGAAGACGTTCCAGTCCTGGGTGAGAATGGAAGGTGAGGAATGTGAGAAAGGGTGAGCGAAGGGGCCGAGCGTACGAGCCGGGGATGAAGAAGAGGTTCCAGTCCTGGGTGGGGTCGTCCGTGGTTGACGCTGCCACTATCAGCCCTGCGCCCACTGTCACGTTGCCTCGCCTCCTCGTCTGCCCAAACTTGTCATACGTGTTGTTGAATCCCCCTGACTGGGAATGGGGAGATATGGGAATGGGAGGGAGGGCGATGAGAATGGGAGGGAGGGCGATGTGTGAGAGCGTAATCAGAGGAAGGTCAATGAGGAGGAAGAGAATGGCTGAGGAAAACGAACGGGAAGAGAATGCAGGAGGAAAACGAGAGGGAGGGCGAGGAGAGGAGTGTGTGAGAGTGTGGTCGGAGGAAGGTCAATGAGGAGGAAGAGAATGGGCGAGGAAACCAAGCGGAAGAGAGTGAGAGAGGAAAACGAGAAGGAGAGAAGGGGGTCGAGGAATGACCGGGGTTAAAGGAGATTGTTGATAAACCTGCATGTTTGTATCCCCCCTGAATCAACACAAAGGACCGTTTGAGAGAGGAATACGAGAGGGAGTACAATACTCCAAGAGGGGGGAAAGGGTCGTACTGGGAAAGTGGCGCGAGGAGGGAGGAAACAAGAAAGGGAGGAATCAACGTTAGGGAGGAAATGAGGGAGGGGGAAATGCCGTGGCAGGATCAGCGCACAACACTTGGGTGAACGGCTCAAGACCAAGGCTATGCCACACTCACAGTCCCGTAGGTGGAGAGGTAAAAGCCCTTGGCCCGGGGGTCATATGTGATGTGCATGTCATGTCGCCAATGTTGTCTCCGAACACTGATGCGTTGGATTCATCCAGCACCCAGCAGCACCCAGCAGCACCGAGCAGCAGCCAGCAGCACCCAGCAACACCGCACACTCTAGTGCAGCAACACCACCCACTCACAGTCCAGTAGGTGGAGAGGTAGAAACGCTTGGCCCGGGGGTCATACGTGCATGTCATGTCGCCAATGCTGTCCCCGAATACTGATGCGTTGAGAGGCTGCCTCCTCTCCACCACTGATGGTAGAACCCCGAAGAACTGGCGTGAGGGTGGTGAAAGAAGGGGCGGGTGGTGGGCTGGTGGGATGGTGTCTGTTTATTAGTTGAATACTGATGTGTTGAGAGCCTCTCCTCTCCACCACTGATGTGTTGAGAGCCTCTCCTCTCCACCACTGATGTGTTGAGAGCCTCTCCTCTCCACCACTGATGGCAGGACCTTGAAAAACTGGTGGGATGATTGTGGAGGGAGGGAGGGCGGACGGTGGGATTGTGTTGGTGTGTGAAGAAGTTTGTTAGTGTACCATCGATGGCGGCACCCTGACGAAGTGACAGCAAGGGAGGAGAGGGGCAGCGGGTGATCGGGGCCCTTGTTGCCCGCTCCACCCGCTGCTGCGGGTGGAGTGTGTGGTGCGGGTGGAGGAGTGTGTGGTGCGGGTGGAGGAGTGTGTGGTGCGGGTGGAGGAGTGTGTGGTGCGGGTGGAGGAGTGTGTGGTGCAGGGTTGTAGAGGAGAGGCAGAGCGAGGGCGAGAGAGGGAGTGGGAGGAAGATTGAAAAGAGGCCCGCATTTGACATCGATGGTGAGAGTGGGAGACAGAAGACGAGAGAACGAGAGAGGGGGGGGGGGGGAGGGCACACAGATCATGGCATCTAGGAGCATGCAGAGGTGCACATGTCTGCACTCGCGTCTTGCATGCGAGCAAACATGTTTGCTAGCACTTGCCTCGTTGTGTGTGATGATGCGAGTGAGCTGCTTCCCTTGCTTGTCGTACACAACCATTGCTGCCATGGGGGCGGCGTAGGGTGGGGGTATAAGAGGAATGGGTGGGGGAGGAGAAAGCAGTCAAAAGGAATCGAGTGAGAATAGGGAGGGAGATGCAAGTGAGTGAGCTGCTTCCCTTGCTTGTCATACACAACCATCGCTGCCAGGGGGGGCGAGTAGGAGGGGAGGAGAGGGAATGGGAGTGGGGGAAGATGGAGGGGATGTGGGGGGTGAAAATGATCGAAAGGAATGGAGCAGCGCGGCAGTGCATGCAAGAGGAAGCAGGTGAAAGAAACGCTTACCAACGTTGACGTTTCGCGACCTTCGCTTGCCTTAAGTAAACTAAAATGAGTTTGCGTAACAAGCGTTGCCCACACACGGAGCGACGTCAGGAGGAAAAGCACGGACCTCTGAGACGCCTCAAAAGGAAGAGAGGCTTACCAACGTTGACAGTGTGAAGGATGTATCCGTTGCCCACACACAGAGCGACGTCAGGAGGGCTCACAACGACCTGAAACGTAACAAGGAGCATCTTTAGTGCTCAATTCATGCACGTCCAAAATTCGCAGTGTGTACTTAAAAACACGTTTCTTACAACTGTATCGTTGTATTTAGGCGGTGTACCACTCATTACTCCGCTGTAATCGCTTATACCGGGAAACCCAACCGCCGGTTTCCGCTTCACCACTTGTCATCGCACGAAGAAATGAGGCTTCCGCGTGGGTCCCGCGCTTCAGCTTGCAATACGGGGGGGTAATTATTGGGCAACAGAACCAACCTGCTGTCAACTTGGGGTTAGCCGAAACCAACCTGCGAGGCGACAGCAGTGTAATATTCACGCATCGCATGTCAGTTGGGGCGAGCAATTCGAGTCCGTTACCATCAGACCCGAAAACGACACCCTCGCACATGCGAGACTCCATAAGTTGCGCTGTAACCACACGTGTAACAAAATTTCGTGTTACACCCCAAAAGACAACTACTGCACAAGTTTAAAGATTTTTCTGATAATGCATCGAAGTTATTTGTTACTGAACGGAAAGGTGATAATGGGAACCGTATATAAACAAGATAAATACACTGTTTCAAACACAACAATACGGGAAACTGACAGCCATATGACAAATCGACCATACATTATCGAAATTCCCATTATCATTAATAGAATGCTTCCCATAAAATAATCTACAGTAAATTAGCGTTATGTTAAAACATTACATCCAATAGGGACACTACAGCTTCTACAAAGCTACTACAGTTCTACAGTGACAACTAAAAACCACTACACCTAACACTAATGACCACTACGCTCATTCTACAGCTCCTCTACAACCATCCAATCCTTAACAATTACATCTCCGAAATAATAAAAGCCACTCACCAAAGGAACACTTGCATGACGGACCCAGTTCTCAACCTGGGCCTTTCTCTTAGTCATTTCGCGGGTGTTAGACTCGGAGTCTGGGAACATGCTGCTTCGTTCCCGAGAGAGCATCTCAAACTCCACCTGCGAAACACAAAAACCATCATAAATGAGACACAAGATAAAAAAAACAAAGATTCCAGTTATCAGAATGGATACTCACAGCAACCAGCGTGTAGCAGAGCTGATCAATGCTGAGAGAGAAGACACCACCCTCCTTCTTCTGCCACTTGCTTGCAGCGGCAAAAAACGCCTTGCTACAAAATGGCTTATCATTGGCAGCATGCCATGGAGGCCAAATTCCTCTGAAAAAACAACCACAAGTGTCAGACCAGAATGATTTTACGCTTAGAAAAACTAATTACCAGAGACGCAAGCTCGCGCGTAAGCTCGCCGATCTTCAAGGGAATCCTTGACAGCTCTGCCATCAGGGTACTTAAGAAGCGGAAAGGTTGCGAGCCGAGACTTGTTCCCAACCTTCCCTCGGCGACCGTTGCAAACTTCCAAGCATTTCTTCGCCCACTCCCCCTTTTTCCAATAGTCGTTGAACTTGCCGAAATCCTCCGGCTCCAGCGCAACGTGCACAACGACGGCGGCTTTAAACTGATCCTCATTAGGGTAGACAACACGCTGCGACACGTCAGACCCCCTGAGAAGATCGTCGCAGGCCTTCTTGCAAGCATCCTGCGAGTAGAACCACATCTGGTTAAAACATGTCACAGAAACATAAATATTCAAACCCATAAAAACATCAAACTTACTTCCATCGTCTTCTCATTGCACCAACTCGGTTGATGCACGATCGCAAGCAGGTTCTTGACGGTTGTAGCTAAGGTCTGCTGGATTTCGTCGGCAACACGAAGGCGGTTTTCAATGCGTAGCATCAGAGTCCGAACGTCCTTCAGCTCGCCACGTATTGCAGCGTCGATGTGGTTATACGAGTTCGCCTCGGGGTGATGCACGTCACGATCTGACGAGGGCTCAGCTGGAAACATCGGGGTAATGGAAACAAAGAAAACAATGTTAAAAAACAATAACAAGTAGCGAGACAAAGATGAAACCTGCGATCGAATGGAACATTTAACGGCTGAACAATAAAATAACATACACAAAAATACCGGCAGTTCGTGGAGATGCGACAACATTTGTTGCTGCGCCACGTTGAGCAAGCGGTGCCGTGGCGTTCAAACAGTTGAGAGGAGATGCATCGCCGTTGTCCGCGGTGTGTTCGACCTCGGTGTGTTCCGCAGCAAGGGCCCCGAGGTCTTGCAGAGGTGGCGGCTCCTGAGGCAGATTCCTCGCGTTACCCACCTGATGTGCCGGGATGGAATTTCTACGAGGGACAGATGATGGGCTACCGAGCTCATACCCTTCGAGCCTCCTGTTGGATGTACGAGATCGCTTGCGCTGCAGCTCCATGATTTCCGCTGGTACGCCAACCGCCATGGTTGCAGAAGCGCTCACTCACAGACTTAGAGCATGAAGCTGAAAATCGAGACAAGAAATAGCTAGATGAGGAGGATGGATGAGAAGCTCGGCTGGGACGCAAGCTTCTTGGAATCAAAACACAAGGGAAACGTTTGTTTGGTTTGTCTTGTCAGCTGGATGACCCTTGAGCTATTAAAAAGCTAAGTATACCACTACCACGCTTTGCAAGTGCAGTAACTAATTTCGCTTAGCTTAAACGTTTGACGGAAGTACCTGATATTCTACCTGCTTTTCGACTTGTTTAGATAAACTACTAAGCAGCTATAGGGAGTACATGCAAATATTAATTTCCAAGAATCTCTTTCTGGTCTGTTTAAATACCAACTAGTCTTTCGAATGCTCCAAAACAATACACCCAGCGCTAACAGTGTACCGTATCTGGCAGGGTATGAAACAAAACCATCGAATTTTACAAGGCGACAACAAGACCGCTGAACAAGGACACTTCAGCGAGCAGGACGGTGCAACAAGCAAAGTGGAGCAGCATGCGTGGCGAGCGAGGCACGGAAGTTCTCGAAGTTGATAGCATGCCAGCAAAGCTGGCAGCATGTCAGCGAGGCTGACGCATGTTCTGTAGCACGAATGTTGACAGCGGACGGGTGAAGTGTTGATGCGCTGTCACGAGGGAACGTTAGTTCAAGTCCAGATACACTAAATTTTCCCTCGTCCAAAACTCTAGGAGTGTACTTCCGTTTCGCTGTGGCGTCGCTTTTAGACAGGGAAGCACTGTCGTTGCCACACAGTTATCCTTCGATGTGTTGTGTTCGCAGGTCTGTGTCGAAAACAAAACACTTGGCTAAACAGTGTCGCAAATACACGTCACACACGTCGACTTGTGCGTACTAGAAATCAGGACCACAATTTTTCCGGACTGAGAGAAATAAGTAATAATTCAAAACAAATAACAAATTCACAACCACGCCGCCATAGCGCAACGGTGCATCGAGCATGACAATGGAAAGTCTGGATTCGTGCAGACAGAACAGCTGCCGGGCAACTGTACACTAGGCCAGCGAGGCACGATACCACCTAGTTGGGCGGCAGGATGCCAGCAAGCGAAATTCTAATGATTCCCCAGCGCCAACAAGAATGGTGAC